TAAAAAAGACGGTACACACGAAGTCCATCATGACTTCGGTCTCCTGTGTGGATGGTACTTTCGTTTCTTCGCTTAAATTAGATGGATCCAAAAGAGCTTGCGTTTATCCTTCTATTTTTATTGCTGTTTGGGAAAAAACGTAAAGACTCGCGATACATGTAAAAACTCCAATCAAACCTCCATCTTTCAAAGAGGCATTAATGAATTTCATTACACTACAAACGTGCTCGTTTTCTTCTTTTAGTTTTCTCTTTTATGCTTCCAAGATTAAAGATAATGCATTTAACACAAATTTTATGAAAGCAACATGCATTTCATGATTATATTATATCTAGAATTTATAGTCATCATGTTGCACTTGTAATTTAATTGAAGCCAAATCAATTAAATTACATCGTAAGCCTTTGGCTTATCACCATCAGTAACAACCCCGCTTGCGTCCAAGCTTGGACGTAGTACTTTATTATGCTATAGTTTTTTAACTATGAAAAAAAGTTAATGTATCAAGATAAATCTAATTATATTACCCAATAATGTTTTTCTTTGTGAGAGATATCAGGTGTCTTTGCTTTTGCAAATATTCAAGTCAAGTATCCATGTTATTGTAGAATCATTTTTTGTCCATGAATAACATTCAGTCATATTTGATATTGTATCAAATATGACTTTTCGTTTTATAAAACCTCATGTTTTTGCGATTTCACATAGTGTAGTGTGTGTCGTGTTTCAGTGTAATGTGTACTTACATCTCAAATAAATGTGATTCCAAGCATTCCATGTAGTTGTGAGTGCATCGCAATATCTTTGTTACAAACTAGTCTTTAGCATTTAAGATTCATCTGCACAGCTGTCAACTTGTCCACTCTATTAAGTCACCAGTGCACATCAAACAGCTCTCACCTTTCGCGTTCACAACAGATTTGAGTTTTCAAATCTCAAAAAACACAAAATGTGTTTGATTATGCTATAATATCACATTTATCAATCTGAAAAATGCATTTTAATATTTTTTAATTGAGCTTTCCAAATAATCATAAACATCAATAGATCAAAATTAAGTCTTCACTAGAAGTTTTGATACCATAGTGATTTTTTCATGTTTGTTGATTTTCAAGGATATGATGTTGCAAGATTGAAAATCTTCCATTTTGATGCTATTGGTATGTAAGTCCATGTCTCCCACTATATTTTTGAAGGCTTATATATATGGGACTTCTGAATAAGCAATATTCTACCAAATTTCCACATTTTCTTAATGAGCTAAAGATATTGAATTCTTAGACAAGATGTGGCGAATCTAGCAAACATGGTTGATTCAGTTTGATGCTTCACCATGACAAGGCTGGAATAAATGGTCATAAGTAGAGGTACCCGTTTCAGCAGATTTACCACTTTTGCGACAATCGTGACCAATTTGAATACGACAAGAGTCGTTTATGTTTTGACAATGCTTGCATAATTTGATTCGAAGCATATTTTGATGGTGTCATTTCTACCACAACTTTCAGTGGAATGAAACAACGAAATCCTCGGTTCAGCAGGAGATGGTGATTCCAGCGATATACTATGTCCAGATTTATGCACCTCTTCCTCAAACCCAGTTCCATGAAATACATTAACGTCTTTATGATAAATTGATTAACCTGCTATCAAAAAATTAAAAAACGCAAGAGAGACAAATCTTGGAATCTCATTCATTTGAAGAAGATTTTGGCCAACGAGGCTAAACCCCGGTATTGAAAGCATTTACACACAGCAGAGTGGATAAATCGGAAGAATGCAGTCATCGAGTGACCTTTACGCAAGGAAGTGTCGGATTCACGAGATTTTTACGGCCACCCTTCTTCGCGGTGTCCGACAGTAAGCTGTCATATGCTTGTGGCAGACGTCTTGGGACAGACCATCTCCGAATCCCACACTCTTGAGATCTTGGCGTGCAATGTTGACGATTGCCGGATGAGCTATGGTTGCAATCCCTTGGTTACTAAAGAATTGAGAGATTAAATAGCTTCCTGTCGCCGGGAGACATGTACGTCTTCATGACTGGTAGTCTTTGAAACATGCAAGCTCAGACTGAAGAAATCTCTGAATTGATTTCTTCTCTAATTGTCTCTTCCATTTACAGTCACTTCCAACTCCAAATCCAGGTCTTTCTGTCAGTTTTATAAAACTAAACGGTAATTACGTATCTAAGTCTGGGAATTATCCACTAGTAAGTGACTAACAAGCGTCATGTGTATGTCCATACTGAACCTACAGATAATGATATCTCTGAACGAATGTAAGTGATGAAGAACCTGAACTGACTTGGTATGAGCTCTCCAGTAAGCTCAGTTTGCTTTAGGTCACTGCCATCTGCCTCGATGATAAAGAGGATCCAGGCTGGTGCTCAATCGTAATGGATGCTCTTTGAGTTTGAGAACCATAGTATCCCCGCAATATGGGCAGCTATTTCCTTACTTCATCCAGATCTCCCGCGTGATCTAGTTCAGTAGTTGATCCAGTTCATTCATCACTGTCACGAGAATCTTGACGGTGAGATCAAATGGTCAGTCCTTCAAATGTGTAGACCGATTCATAACTTTTGCGTAGATGAGCTTCTAAGGCTTCTGATGTTTCTTGAGAGATACTTAGGTATACCTTCAAGTGGAGTTAGAGCAGGTTTTTTTTAAGAGTAATATCGACGTATGAAATCTTCTTATATATCTAGCATGAAATCTAAAACAATGCCAATGTTCTCAGTATAAACACCTATAGACTCTGGAAATATGTTTCTGAAATTGATAAAAAACTTTTGTGATATCATGAGTACTTTACATATTTAATGATTTGGAATTGATTTCTTGGGAGACTTCCACGATTCTGATTTCACCGAAAGTGATTGCAAACTCATGTTATCTCTAAAAATGGAAGATTGCACACAATTCGTGCGAGGGCAGCAAAAGCTGTTGTAGTTGTGTCTTCAGGACTCAACGTAAAGAAATGATGCCGATTCTACCAGTGGAATTATTGGAGAATATCACTCCACGTCTAGAGTGATGTTGGCCGTGCCAACCTAACGACATTATCTGGCATTGTTGTCAATGAGCAGCCAGATATACTTCAAGTACATGAGGTGATCATGTATTATCGATTCTTATTTTGTGTAAGAGTGTGGTTGCATCTAGCTCTGCGAATTCACAACCACCGACTTTTGATTCTGCAAACGAGGTTAATCTCATTTCATGCCCTGATCAAAGAGCAGATCAACAGCATGTTCTGTATATCATAGATTAATATTACAGCGAGGATTTTAGTGTCAGTGACGCTTTTGTCTGAACTATAATTTCTCACTTTGGAGTAAGTAGTTATTTGACTATTAGTAATAAGTATTTGGTACGGTTAAGTTGGAGGTTGAGGATTCCTCAGTCGAGTCTCAAAACTGAGGATGCAGATTGTATATAATCCTTTTCAGAATCCAAAGAAGTTTCAGAATCCAAGCCATACCTTGAAAGAAATCATTTGTTCATGTAATGACCACACCTCAGACTGCTTGGTTTATGAATGAAAGGTGACTTAACATTTCAGTTGATTCTTGGTATAAATTCGTTGTAATTAGATTTTGATTTTCATCGATGTCTTATAATATGCTGAGGATTTGGAATCAGAGTATGTTGAGGTTGAAAAGTTGTGTGAGAATTATAGCAATCAAACCTGACAAAATCAAGTTTGATATATCAATGTCTGTCTTCTCCGATCAACTTACATAGCTAAGCTTACTAAATTGAGTGTGCTGTTAAATCCATGCAGACTGAACTTGAAAATTAGTCGAGGTGAAATCAGATTAAATATATTGTTGCAGATAACTATCAGAGTCATGATTTCAGTAGTCAATAATAATTATCTGAATTTTCACTTGATAGTAACCTCAAAGTTTTTATTAGTAAAAATATTTTGTAGATTACCTTGGCGGGTCAGAAGTCATTAATTTCCATTTTTCAGGGCTTACATTTTAAATATCGAGATTCAAAACTTGAGAGTAGATAGTATATATAATAAAATGGAATTTGATAAAGCTTCAACAATCTAGACTACAACAATGATAATTAGCGAGAGGTTTTGAGTGTTGATGTGGAGCGAGAAGTGACAGAGAATTTTAGCTGATTTTCATTTAGTCTAAAGTCAGTTTATCAAAAAGTGAAGTAATTTTTTTTTCAAATATTTTTTTTCAATATAGAATTTCCACAATAACTGTTGTTGTACAAAAATCATCTAGAACTTCCTCTCATGTAACAAAATTTCATAGTGATATTAATACATATCAATACATTGCGAAAATTCTTTTCTTCAGAATTAAACTTCTAGAAATAGTTTTGAAACAAATTTGTTGAAACGACAAGTTGAAATGGAAGTGACTGGACAGTTGTAATAGTGTTGGTATTAAAAAATTCATTTTGAATTAAAAAAAAACGGTTAATCGCGTCGTGATTTATTGTCACAGCACTCCAGGGACTGGACCGCAATGACTGATTGACATTATTGAAGAAAATTTGATCATTCAATTAATGGCAAACAGCTGTCTGAAAAGCACTTGATTCATCTCCAAACTTATGTTCTAAAATACTTCAGGCGTTTTGTCACGATCGTAAATAAAGTCCAAGAGTTACGGGAAGAGCTGAAAGGGAATATCCCTTTGAAATAATAAGTTGAATGAGTGTCAATAGAGAAACAGCTCTGACTTCTGAAAAACGAAGTAAAGAAAAATTTTATTTCAGTAAAATTCTAGCCAAATCAAGCCGAAATTAAAGCAAATATAAATTTCTTAATAATTGATATGATTTCTTAATAGTCCAATGATTGATAAAAAGAACTAATTTGTGACAACGGCATCTTCTTCATCTGGCTTCAAAGCAAGCCTTGCGAAGTGAGTGGGCAGTTACACATCAAATGCATATTGCAACAATCCAGATGCTATATTCATCACATATTTCCCCCATAGTATGAAAATCACTTTTAGATCTGAAGTGTTTCGGTCTGGACTTCAGTGAACAGGAGCTGATATTGGTCCACCGCAATATTTCTAGAACTGCTAAGGTGCTTACTGTATGAAGCACATATGAAACTATGTTTCACATGAGAAAGGTCGACCACGTGTTAGATGCCGCTACCGACCTATGCAAGCAACAGATTAAGGTTCCTTGTCCTGAAATGGTTCTTGAATGATTTAGGAAAATTCTAAGAGTCTCTTATAGGGCCACGGCTTTTTATTTTCTAGTTCAAAATGAGGATGGCAACGCCTTCTAGCAACTCTCACAAGTGATCTTTGCACATCTGAGAGAATCCGAGATCCAGAACTGGTCTGAACAAGTGAATGTGACTTTTATAAACAAGGGAAAATCAGACCAAGACAAATATCTACTGATCCGCTTATGTCCTAATTTTAATACAACTGCATTTGGAGACTATAGAGAGATCTATCCTTCAGCATGTTCTGGTGATCTGACTGACCCACTTTACATGAAAGGCCTTTTTTCCTTCAAACACATCGAATGGCAAACTATGGACTTTCTGCTGCACTGAAAGGGTATTTGAACTGGAGCAAGCATATACGGACATGCAGGGACAATCCTGAGAATCAAAAAGCTAGGACGAACGTAGGTAATACTTCCACCGTCTGTGACAGCGTTGAGCCGAAGATTTGGCTTTCAAACGTGAAGATCATGGTGACCAGGTTTTTACGTGGATGGTCCCTCTAGCCTGAGGCTATCGTACATGACTCCATTGTATGGACCTGTCACTTTCCTTTGAGTAAGAAAGATTGTATTATCTCCGCTCTTGAAATGTGCTGCTGCGATCTGGACACTGAAAAGAACATAAAGTCCATGTATACCATGGCGTGCAACGGCATTGTCTCTCCCGAATTGCTGCGTGTCGAACAAAGTCTTGGATGTGATGTCGTTCACCTTGATCTGCAAGTTGAGAGATATGTCTGTTAGAGAAAGGTAGGTTCAACAATATATAAGTTCACCAACGAACATCTAAGTTTCAGCGTTCAGAAACGTAATAAGTCTTCATTGCGACCTGAAGTAACACTTTTAACACTTTTAACACTTTTCCTAACATTCTTTACATATGAAGATGCTCACAAGCTGCATCTTCATCTAAGATTGCCCTGGAATAGAGCAGAATTGCATGTCCAAAATTTTGAAGCCGCTGAGATCTGAACAGACGTCACCAAGAATTCAGCCACAAGTTTGCAACTGACCGCTATAGCTGCTTGATTCGATGCTGCAATCCCCAAGCGAAGCGTATAGGGGCCTGATTTTTTGTCAAATGTCGTCAAACGGAACCGGACTTGCCAAGTCGTTGCTTTATAACTGTAGCTTCCATCAGCAGCCACGACTCTCCTGTAAACCAAAGTTCCAGCTTCTCTGTCTTAGTCTGGAATACATTCTCTTCCACACTTAAGAGAACTGTTCATCAGAGATCCCGACACTATAAACATTTGCATAGATTAGCCTGTGAACAGATCTTGAATAATACACAGTTCTACAAGCGTGACGATTACCCTCCATCACACTTACACTTTCAGCGGTAGAGGAAATTAACATTCTCTTTGAACCAAGTTTTAAGAATTCGGATGTTACCTTGGGACATGTGCGAAGAACCAGTCTTTGGTCCAGTCACTCTTTCCCACCGTGTAGATCAGGTCTTGGTCTGGGTATAACTGCGTGTACCTTGCCCACAGACCATACTGTCGCCATCTGCACCAATAGAAATGATTTTTTGCTTCCAATCAGAACATCCGTATCAAATGCTCGGTTGCCGCTCTCTCGTTCTTCACAATATAAGGCAACACTGATGGCTTATCATAGAGGATAAGAATAAATACGACGCAGTTCAGCAGCTTACTTTCTTCCTGATGGATTGTGGAAGACGAAAGGGGCCTGACTTTTATCAAGAAAGACAGAGAGAAATCGGCAGACAGTTCATGTGATGATCATCATGGAACTCACCGCCTTCTGAGTAAGCCTTTATGCTAAAAAGGAAGCAGGCATGCTCATGACAAGAGCTAATTATGGGCAAGCCCATGTTCCCTCGACATACACGCAATGAATGACAGGGCAAGAGGGTTCAGGAAGAGAAATCTACTAACTTTTCAGGGTGATTCACGAACAGCTTGTTTACGTATTTCGGATCTGGGTCGGGAATGTAACCAGTGGCACTTCGATCCGCAACACCAATCGACCAAACCGTAGGCCCCGCTCTTGGGGGCTCGTAAACCATGTCAGATAGTACCAATTTCTCACCTACAGAAGCACCGAGATTTGTAAGAAAAGAAGTGAACGCGAAAGCAAGGCTTTGTGAGCAGGTGTACATGGTTTTTAAATATGACGAACCTCGGATTGCTACTGATGCTGTGCCTGCAGCGTGAGAATGGCCTTTCTCACGCTGCAGGCACGGTTTTATGTTTTAAATTGAAATTGGACTGCTACCTTACTTTTCTTGAAATAGACCTCAATTTGAGCTGATAGGCCAATATTTCGGACGGACAGGTGTGATGAATAGTGGATCGACTTCTAGTGATGCACACTTTTAAGCAGAAGAAGTTCTTCACATCCGTGTATTCGAAGAATGATCTGGATCTCAATCAACAACTTGACTCTCCTAGACAACCAGCTGCCCAGAGATTTGGACATGGATGACATTGTGGCTGATCCCAACCTCTGCCGACGCGGATACGACCATCTCTTCTAAAGTCGCCAAGCACGCCAGGTATCCAAGCGACCACGTCGTACACTCCAACACGCACATTTTTTATGGTGTAATTTCCCCTCACATCTGCTTTCGTCCAGAATTGGTAACCCTGTGCACAAGTACGTGACACACACAGAGGGATTATGTTTCACTCCTCATTTCAAATTTCGAGCTCGTCCAGTTCCCTATTATAGAGACATAAAACTGACGGTCTACAGAACGCGCAGGACAAGGTTGCCTGACCAACGATTACCTTGCTGTCTTTCTGCCATGCTCCTGGCTGACTGGATTTTGCCAGTCCGACAAGAGCATCTTTGCCTGATTGTCTTAAGGCATCTCCGACCCTGTGGTCACGTCACAGAAAGAAGTACGCATGCAAATATTAGCCTCCTTCCTTACAGTCAAAGAGCATTCTGTACTTCGTCGTTGATATAGTACATAAATCATCTTCTTCTCAGTCTCATGTTCATATTGCTGTGCGCTGATTGCCATGTTTGCACGATATCAGATGCTTCGATTCTTCAATTGTCAAGTCTCTAGGCTTCAATGATGCAGATTCGACCGTATCTGCCACGAGGTGAATCAGAAAAAGACCTGTCCCTGAAGAGTATTCGGCCTGAAACTTCTCCTCGGTCTGCTGCCTTGGGGTAGTCTGAAGAAGCGGGCCAGGTATACGGCCAAGATCTCCATTCGAGTTGCATCTAGAACCAATCAAGACATTCAAGCTCTCAGTTGCTGCAGACGTTAGGGGTTGGATGACTAAAAGCTCGAGAAGGTGAGCAGAAATTTTCCAAAGTTTGTGTTCTAGTACAGTTGAAACAATAACTTGGGGTTTTCTGCATGTGTTTGGAATACAAAGCTTGCTCAATTAGCAAGCTTTGTATTCCAATTTTAAAAAGCAATACGAATCTAGAGAAGAAAATTCTTACTCGGGCTTTAGCATCGTCCCACAAGTCTCGAACTTTCGCTGCAGCAGGCTTTTTGTTCAGGTAAATATAAACTGGACCAAACACTTTCCGCCAAGCCTCACTCCTGAATTGAGCGCACAGCTCGATACCAGCGTAGTGTGCACTGTGAAACATCTGTGATGCACATCCAAAATAATAGGGGTCACTGCGCTACAAAAACAATTGGTATTTCGATTGCTTTGTGGTCTACTTTCTTGCATGATCATATCATAAGCATAATCAGAAACATAATCATCCGAGGATCCAGCTTCTACCAGGATGCGGACACGTGCGCACGTATGCATCTAGAAGACATTTTGTAATCCTCTCTATTGAGAACGAATTTCTTACTGCAAGGCACGTTGGGCCAGTATGAGAAGTTAAATCCTGCTTTGTAGGACCTCCATTTCTGAACTCATTACTGGGTGTGATCATCCAAAATCCAACACCTGGATCGTCGCACATCCATCCATGCACTTGGTTTTGTATGTTGTCGCAGGAGTAAAGATACTTGTCATCGACCTGGAGGAGAAGCACCAATTTATTGTCATTCACCTTTGCAAATTGAGGGGCTAGAAAATGAGAAAGGTATAGAAGGCTTGCTCTGACAACATTATTATGAATCAAATAATTTTTAATGATACTAATGTCCACGAAACGTAAAAGTTTCTTACCTCTCCTTTCAGAGATGGCTCTATGGGGTTGGTTAAAAGTCTTGCTTCCTTGTAAGCTAGCTGCTCACTCCGAGCATCCGTCATATCCTCAGGAGAGGGCATAAGCCTTAGCTTGTTGTCAGCCAACGCCATGTAATGAAATCTGCAGGCAATATAGGCTGGGCTCATACGTTTACTCTAGTTCTACTGCTAGTGCCATCTAGTCTAATAACTATCCAAGTAACCGTGCGAGACATACTTTCTGCAGATAGCACTTTCACAAGACGAGGAGAAACATCAAGATTGTGGTCCGCACACTACTCTAGGATACTTACATATCTCTGTTAAGCTTAAAACAAACTCGAGTTTGGTTGAGATTGAAATCGCGCCATCCAATGGCATGATCATATATGGCATAGGTGTAGAAACCTGAGTGTCCGCGAAGGAGGACAAATCTGAAAGCACAAAGTTGGTATAATTAGAAAACAGACCATATCTCTATATTGTTCATCTGAGCATGTTACTTGACGTAGAGCTCATCTATTCTTGCCCATTTTGTTCGCGTTTTTCATCAAATGCAACGCTAAGAAATAGGAGGGAATAGCTATACCGATGCTGAGGAATAGCTCTGCGTATTGGGCCAAGAGCATTTTCACTACTGTTTTCCTTGGAACAGATTTCTGATATATTTTCTTTACACGATAAATCGAACTCTGAAGCACAGCATATCTGGATCCTGAAAACTGAAAGTCCGATTACCCTTGAAGCATAGAAACCTCGCGTATAAACGATGTCTTTCATGGACGCCTTTGTTCTAGGACCTACAGTCATATTCGCTTGTGTTGCAACTATGGTTGTACCTTTTATCGATAGTAAGGGGCACCATTGCTGGATTACGATTCGAATCAAAAGGGCGAGTAAATGAAACTTCAACTCTATCTCCATCAGAATATACTAGCTTGAAGTCAGTACCACCAGGTCTGCAAATTCATACATAGATGTTATCAACGCAATTACTCACGAAATTTTCAAACCAAGACAAAGACTTGAAATAGACTGAGAGACAATTACAATTCACAGTTATCATATCACGTCTTATAGAAGCAAAACTTGGGTCATCATGAAAGCTTTTGTGGCAAGCTTCTGCTCAATTTTAGTGTAAACCCATTCCACAAATTGACAGAAAAATGTACGACATGAAGCTTACACGTCGAAGATGTCTTTTGCATCGGTCTCACTCCAATTCAGATCCCAATACCTGTAAACAATTTTTGATTGAGTTATCCGACAAACAATTCCTAAAATCAGGACAAAGTTTGTCTAGGTTTCATACTTAGACAAATGCCCGTCACAAGTCTTCTGAGTTTCAGACTGATTAACAATCCAGGACTATTATGGGGGATAACACTTACCCTCGGTTAGTCTCCTTATTGCGAACCTCCAAGAGGTTGTCCAGTCCTGCATAGCTGATTGCTGTGACAATACCTCCTGGTTTGGACAGGGTAACCTTGACATAACCATTGTCCAGAACGACCTGCCCAAAGTTATGGATTAAAAGACAGAAACACGACGAACAATAGGTTCTATGCTGAATTTAGAAAGACCTCGTAGTTCGAAGCCTGTTTCATACAACTTTATGCTGCTCCGTTACTCGTTTCATTCTCCATGTCTCGTGTGCAGATTTCAGCAGCAAGTAATTAAGGTTCGCTTCGCATTCAAATGACGACTTCGAAGTTCATTGAGTTTGGAAAATTGATATAAAAAAATATTCCATAGACGATCCTGCCGGAAAAGAATTCAACTCCTCCCTAATTGATAGTAATGAGGAATTTTTGCAATTACTATTCATGTCTCTCCATTCATATGCAGAATAAAAGCAGATAAATGCAGAGAACTGGAGCTGAGAGAGGGTTATGATTGGATTTTTACTTTGCTGCTCCCATCAGTGAACGTAACAGAAGGCGTGGAGGAGCTCGCCATCTTGAAACTCTTCGCAAGTATTTTAAGGAAGCTAGAACTGTGTAAGAAAGCTGAAGTTAGTGATCTTCACCAATCTCAAAATTTGAAACTGTGATTTTGCAATAAAACTCCCCATGGATAAAACCTTTGGGCTGGAGGATGCTGGAATGCGCGATCGGAGACAAAAGATCACGACGGTCATTGTCTCACTCCATAGACCCTAATTTTTATCCTATCGTGGTGATGGAAACACAGTTCTAAGAACAGGCCCTTGATGCAGATCAGGACAAATAAGTACAAAACATTGATGCGAATCATGCAGAAGACTCACGTTCTGTTTAAGTTGTTTCTGGTCGAAATGAACTACTCTTCTTTTGCTTCGAGTCTTGAGTGTCTTCTTGCGTATCACACAATGTACAAGGCTCAAAGCTCCTCGATGCTCGATTGAAGTCTCGCCAGTATACCCTCCTAAATGTGGAGTCCACGTTCGTTAGAATCCTAAAAGATTTTCTCAGGAAAAGAATTACGGACAAATTCCGGCGTAGAACTTTGATACATACTCATAAGACTTTTCAGGATCATAAAAGAGAAATCATTCCACTTTCAAAAATTTTGCTCGGGGTCTGTAAACTTCTGGCTGACTGGAACAAAGCCTTACCTCCTCAAGCCCGTGCGCTAGAATGGACTGATCAGGTCTTGCTCAGAACAGCTCTCGTAACTCTACTCCAAGAAAGTCATGTAAGACTCTAGATCAGATCTACATAAGCGAGCCACGGAAGCTTATCATCCTGGACGCATAATCACTGGCTGCCCGTCGAAGATACAGATACACAGACCAGTGAATTTGGACTAACGATTTGAAGATTATATAGTTTGAATGTAGAGATTTCGTGTCGAGTACATAATTAATGGAACACGAGAATCAAGTGCAGATTGACAATTCGTTCTCCATGCAATCCTCACACACTGACGTCCAGATAGGCTCACTTCTGTGCCAACAGCTTTGAACTGTGCGGAATTCCTTCTTGCATGGAGAGAGCCGTCCAACATTCAACATCAGTTTCTGAGAAACGGTCCCCATGGTACAGTTCAGGCACCGTCTATAAACTTACATAATTTCAGGAGGCTTTCACTTTTCTTTATTTTTCTTTTGTTCTCCTCACTGCACGACTGCAATACATCTCACTTTTCATAATCTCCAAAGTAGTGATGTGGAGCTATATCATAGAACATTCCTGATTCTTATGTCATAGAGTTGTTTGAATGGCAAGCAACAGACACGTGCAATGCAATGTAATATAGTCAAAGCATATTCAAAAATACCAATGCGGGAAAAAGGGCAAGAAGTAGTTGCTACATTCTGATAGCACAGGCAAACTTTTCCACTTCTGACGCAAGGAAGCCACTTGTGAATTTGTAGAACTTAATCTATGCCGGTGTAGAGATTTGCGACTGGATCTCAACAGCAATGAGTACACGACGCTATGCAAGATCAGGAAGATTTGCACCCAGAGTGCACCAGAGGAAGGCTCAACCTCTGCCGCAGTGACAACGATTGTATATGATATTGAAGCCAGCGTTCACGTTAAGTCATGATTAAGTGCCACCTTTGACTTTGTTTTTAGATGGGCACAGCACACAAGATTAAGATTTGCTATCGAATGTGACTTTTCATGAGATGAAGTACTTGATTACACGGGTCAGAAGCTGATTAAACCTTCAGAGATCGTCACAAGTCCTACCTACATCTTTGGAAACTTTGCTTTGTACTTATTCTGTCTGAGTATCCTCGGACAGAACATAATAAGCCCCTCAGCATAATTCCTCATTACTAGCTCCGACCTGATCTTGGTATTTTCTAGCATTTCTAAGCGAAGATTTGGTAAAATATATGAAGGTTAAGCGTGTCGGTTTAAGCAGTGAGACCACATAAATATCTGATCAGAAAGTTTGTGTTCCTCTACGGGGTCAACGGTTTCCAAGGATTATTTCGTACACACTAACTATACATAACTGATTTCTTCAATGCTTGATTGCGCACCACAGCAGACATGAGGTGAGTGAAGTTGTAGCTAACAGAGCACGGACGCTCGTATGGAAGAGGTCACATGACTCATGCAGGCGCCTAATGCTCCAGAGGCAGTATTACCAGAAATTAAGGCGTGGAATCAATCTTCCTTCCCATTTAGAGAAGAGTCCGCAGCCTTTTGACAAATCACCTGATCTGTCATTTTTGGCTACCACGAAACAGCTGTATGCTCATCAGCAAAGAGTTTTAGTACAACTGAATGTTTGAAGCATGTAATTCATGAAATTATTAGCTTTTAATCTTCATCGGATAGTTTTATTAAAAACTGTTCTTTCAGAGCGTCAGGTTCACACTTGTCTGATCGTAAGTGTATCCAGTGCGATGGCGAAAATTTGTGTGACTGACACTTCCAAACCCGACGAGAACGGAATTCGTTTACTTCTGTTTACTTGCGCCTCGGGTTTAGATGTGGACCCGATCATAAATCCTGTGCATCTTATCTGGAACCAAAATCCCGGTGAATTGAATTGACACTACACGACTACGGAGAGTCGTTCGCGGATCACATTGAATTGTTGCTCTCGAAAGAACGCAGCGCAAACTACACGCTCCGATTCCATTTAAGAGAAGACCCTAGATCACTCTACTAAATTGCTTGAGAGACAATTTAACAGCAAATTTTCTTCAGTCACTTCAATCACAGGTAGACAATCGCATCGGCATGTCGTCTACCACGAGGCTCTGTGAGGACGTGATGGTTCAAGTTAGTGATTCAGTCGTGAAATGGGTTGCAACTGTGCCAAGATTAAGGAAAATTATTGTTCTAAGTCCCTCTCTGAGAACACATTGTTCTCTGAACCAGACACTTGGACTTTAGAACCAGCAACTGATCAGTTTCAAAAATAACCAGAATTATATGTACAGCAAAGTTCTGTGAGAGTTGGAACGAGATTCAAGTTGAGTAATGAGTAATCTCCGCGCGCTGTCGTGGTGAATCTGAAAGATCCACTGGGATCGTTGTCTGGCCGAGTGAATGCAAGGCGATGCAAGAACAAAAATGATAGTAATGGCATACTTAGTAACAACAACTACAACCAATGCTAAGTGCATATTAAGTGGAAATGCTTACCGTAGTCGAAGGGAAACAGGTCAGTGTCTTCACATTCAATTCCCTTCTGGGAATCGCGTGGATCGAGATTTCATGCTTTTTTACGAAGGTCATACCACGTAGAGGACTGACACCACTGTGATCTAGAATCTAATGTATTTGGTATTCCGAGATATTTCTTCCTACGATCACCAGTAGATCTGAATATCCCAGAAATTGAGAAAAATCTAGTGGATATGTATTACGTATTACTTCCAACAACAAGAGACAGGAGTTGAAAGATAAATGTATCATTCAACCTACGAGCATAAATTGTAAACCATATCATAAAACCAGGGAATAATGTACGGTTGGCATATTATTACATCCTTACATCGTTAGCTGGCCCTATGTACTTTCACATGGAATCATCTTGAATTTGCTTAAATTGCATACTCAAGGACGAGATTTTGTATTGTACCATGAACCCAAACATGTGCTGCTCTTGGACAAGTGCATGTTTGCTCTAGCCTTGGCAACAACACCATGTAGTCTTCAAGAGAGAGATGTTGGGATCAATTGATGAGCATATAAGAAGGTGTTTCAATCCATAGGAGGAGGATGATCTTCTCTCGACATAAATGGTGGTTGTTATACCATTTACCATTTGTTATCTATGTCTTAAGGAGGACGATGTGAGGGACAGATTCTCAAGCCAGTCATGTACGAGACGCATGGACGAAAATGGTTGTTTATTTGACCTGACCTTGCATGTGACACACCCATGGAACAATGAACATCTATATTGGTCGCACTGCACATTTCACTATATCGGAGAAATTTGCAAACTGTCAGAAAATGTGCTGACTCTGTCTGGGTATGGAACTCGTCTCATCAGTTGCACTCTGCATTAAAACTTCAGATGTTCTTACTCTCCCCATTTATGATGAAAAGTGTATTCGTTTCCCTTGACTTCGTGGATGTCCCCTCCATGTTCCGACTACAGACTTCGTGCATGGAGGGAAGGAAGAAAGGAAGCTCTCCCTCAACACCCAGATTGCCTCCACACGAAGATTGGCGCATAACGAGGTTCCTGCTCACTGGAGAAACAAACGGGTAACCTCTGAGGATCGAAGCCATCGTGTTCACACGGTGGGGGCAATGCTTCGAGCGCGACTTGGCAGCTAACGCCTGCTCCTCGCGCCAGAGGCACTTAAAAACTGATATGTATCACAATGATACTAAATTAAAGATGAGACGATTTGCGGAAAGTTTAATTTTGTTTCTACTTTCTTATAGCCACGTTACCAAAATGGATTCATAAATGTCAAACATGAAAATATATTGTGTACCAACCAGAACAATCTATTTCAATTATTATCATAACGATGCGCATTTTAGGCTTTTGATCGATATTTGTGGAGTTGACTATTTAGTTCCAGCGAAAACAGCCCAAGCTCTTTCATTTTCGAGAGATTAAGATAACCGTGCAGCCGCAAGTGAAGTTGAGTCTGAATGGCCTCGTCTTCAAATGCCAGTCTGCTCTTCTACCTCTGCTTGACACAGTCAGCAGAGGTAGAAGAGCAGCTGGCAGATTGTGGCGTACAGACTATGGTGTACGGTGTACGTTGACCGATGTACGGTAGGCAGAGGGCAATGTACGCACACACGAAGGTGTCAATCATTCCTAGCATGCCGAATCTGCGTAATGTTTCAGGCTCGACATTCGTATGCATTGGTACAATCGAGATCGCGTGCAATCAGATTCTCTTGGAATGGACTCGTTGACATTTTACCTTCACTGAACAATACGTCAGAACTTCCGTCATGACAGTATCCATGTGATGTAAATCGAACTATGACGTTTTGATCATGTCCTTCCTGTAAAACTCACGTGAAGACTACCATACGAGAGAATTCACGCGAGCAGTGTCGCGACTGTACAATCCATTGTCCTTTGCCTAGTGGATGTGTCAGGCCTCTCTATACAGTGAACTTTTCCGTATGTTTCGTATTTCAACAAAATAAAGATTATCATAAAAGAAAATATGGAACTCACATAATTTAGTACAAAACTTCTTGTTTTATTCAAAAATGTTTGAAGTTGAGTACAATTTCGAGAGCTATGGGTGTTCTTTTTGATACATGAATATACTTTTTCCATTTCAGCATTAAAAAATTGCTTTCTACCGAGACAGTGTTTGGAAATGGACATGCTGATCCTACAAAGAACTCCATGAGTAAAACTAATGTATAGATAATCCAAGCTTCACTAAACTCAGATCAGATTTAAGACATGGCGAAGTCGATGTTCACACAGATCATGAGCTGCTTGTGTTTATCGACCAGTTTTGTTGCTATAAAACTTCTAAACGATCTTGATAATTCAGAGTACATCCCGTTGTTTCCAAAACTGCAAATTCATGAGGTAAAAAAGGAGCCAAAATATTGGAACTCGCCTAGTTTAACTTCGACCTTGCTTACATTGCAAAGTGCTTCCAAAACATGCAGAACTTCAAGCCAATCCAACTAATCCATTCTAACAAGTTTGTCAAGAGTATTGAGTATCACGACTTGCAATGCAGTGTAACAGGCGTTTCGGTTGAAACGGGGTTGAAACTTTGCTTTGTAGCGGGTATGGTGGAATCCATCAGACTTCAGGAAGCAAATTACCAAAATCATGGTTAAATTAAATAATGATGCGAGAACCTTTTTAACCAGAACAACTATTTAAGAGCTTTTAACAGCCGGAAACGGTGCTATGGAACTAGATTGTTGAACTTTTATCGTTCTCTGGTTACGCCACGTAAATCAAGAAAAAAAATTATTTTTCAAAACAAAGAAGTTCTTGAAAACCAAATACTTGACAGACGGAACTCCGTCAATGAGTTCCGTATTTAGAGAGGTCTGCCGATGACTCATCGGCAGTTAGACTGCCTTCGTGTTCGAAGACTCGGCTGATGCTTCCACGAAAGGACAATTACGATGACATCAAACGATTTATAGTCGGAAACTGTGAGGAACACCATTTTAAACTCAAACACAAACGAATAATCGCGCGACACTTTGCTGTAGTCCGGTTTGGGATCAATCTCAAGTAGCCAGTTACTGCAACATTGTTTTGTTCCGAGGTGATAATCGTGATTCATGACAAAGCTGACTAGTGGCAACTGGCTTTGGAAAACGCTGGCCGCTGAAAGTCATTTGATTTGTGTGCGTGCCACTTTGGACTGAATTTAAGTTGTTGTTCTAGAAGCACAACTCATAGTGAGTGACATCTACAAATGCATTGGAAGATGTAAAGTGGTATCTATGTGTAGAAGTGCATTGGCCATTGTCGCAAAAGCAGTTGTAGCAAAAATATGAATGGATTCGATTGCAATAATGACTTGATCGAAAACTTGATTGAAACTGTGAAAGTTTCATATCTGCAGCCTCCAGCACGAACTGCAGTTCAAATTGACTCCAACGCGATACCAAAGCTTCTCCGCTAAAACAAGTGGGAATTATGTCGAGAAGAAAGCAGTGCGCGACTCCTTATTCTTCCGTCACTAGATTGACTTTGAGGTTGGGAGATGCTGCATCCACTCTCTCCTTCTAACTAGCACCCAGTATCAAAAGAGCATAAACCCTGCTTACTAGATCCGCATGCTTGTTATAAGCGAAACACAACTCTCTAAGTAACCACCCCGTATGGACAGTTCATTGAGATGAACGTCTCATACTATGTGATGCACTTTGCCTCATCTAGAGGATGAATTTTCAACTCTAGATGAAGAGAATGGCAAAAACCTCCCTTTTACATCTACTGTCCTATCCAGTACAAGGGCAGCTTGTGAAAATAGGTGCAGAAATGCTTGTCCACAACTCCATCATGAAGACTGTGGGTCTGCCTAGGTCGGTGGTGCTTCCAGGCGCAGGTAATCGTACATCACTACGCTGAATGGGCCCGTAGCTCTCCTCTGATTGAGGTAAATTGAGTTTTCTCCCGTGTGTAACCTCGCTGCTGGAATATCTATCTCGAAAAGCATATAGTTGCCATGTATGCCATGTCTTGCAAGCGTATTGTCCCTGCCAATCCCTGATGTGTCGAAGATAGCTTTGGAAGACGGATCATTCACCTTGACCTGCAGAGACCAGCATTTTACCTTTAAGAGCGAATCCTGAGATGTATCACGACATGAATATACAAAGAAGTTCTCATTACATTCTGACTGTCTCACTGCAGAGGTAGTGCTTCACTTTTGTAGTCGTACGAATTCTTAATCGTGCCTACTCTTTCTAGGCACCGACCTGGAGAGCCGCTTGATTCGAGGTGGCGATTGCCATTCGGAACTTGTAACAACCCTGAGTCGCATCACAATGTGACAGGTTGAACTTAATCTGCCAAGAGGTTGGTTTCCACTCCCCATTACAATCCCTCCTGTGAGATAAATATCATCATTACCTCCAGAATTAGTTGGTTGTTACACGAAGACATTGTGTTTTTTGTAATAGACATTGAAAAGCTCCAGTTTCTTACCGGCCGCAGTGTGCAAAATACCAATCTTTCGTCCAGTCGCTCGTTCCCACACAGTAAACAAGATCTTCTGTCGGATAAAGCTCACTGTACCGTTCCCAAAGTCCGTAATTGCGGAACCTGATCCACAATGAAGTTCTTCACTGTGAGTGGCAAAGTAAATCATTGCACAAATGCAGGCTCTCATGATAGATGTTCGTAGTATGAAGAGCTAGACTACCCTTTTAATGGCTGGCGGGTGCTTGGGCACTCATAGGGTTTATGTGGATCGTCTTGTCACAGAAGATCTTTGAGTGTACCCAAGGCCACGAATTATCTGCAACTCGGACTTCAACCTTATCAAGAAAATCAGACACAGAGGTGAAAACCAGGAACGGCGTTGTTTGATAGAAAAAGGGAACTAACTTTTCGTTTTTCACAAAAAGCTGGTTGACATATTTCGGGTCTGGATCGGGAATGTAGCCCATGCTGTGGCGGTCAGGAACACCGATTTCCCACACGGTAGGCCCATATCTTGGAGGCTCGTAATTAAGGGCACCCAACTGTATGTCATCACCTGCAGCAGACCAAGAGCGTCAGGTGCCGAGCTGACATGAATTCGTCATAAGCAGAAGGTTGCGTTAACAGAGGTATTGCTTGTCACACACACAACACAAGAGACGCTTTGAAATCTTCAGAAGCCGAAGAACGATGCAACTGGCAATGAACGGAACCTGGATTGACGACAATAGGACCTCCTTCTCTGATATAATCACCAATTGCACCAGGAACAAAGGCATAAAGATCGTACGTTCCAGGACGAACATTGTGAATCGTGAAGTTCCCCTTCTTATCTGCTTGAGTCCAGAACTGATAGCCCTGCCCCCACGCAAATAGCACGTGCCAGATCAGATCCCTCGGCCAAAAACATTCGTTTCATCAGTGAGGTGATGGCAATCTTCGAAAGCTTAAACCATGTGCATCATTCGCTGCTGATATTTTCACCACTTAGTTACCTTGCTCTCCTTTTGCCAGCATCCTTTCTGTCCCGGCAATGCTAGTCCTACAGATGCATCTGTGGCGGAACGCAATTTGTTTGGCACCGCGTACCTGCAAGAGGACAAGCTTGAGTTCGACGTGTGTGAAGATCCACATCATGCAGGTTCTACTGAAGATAGCGAATAATCGTTCACTATGCTTTTGGATGCTGATCGTGTTGCTCTGTTGGCGAGAAACGCAAGGAATGCTTCACTACGCACTTGTCATGAACGAGGAGCCGGCCTGACACTCGTCCACGTTCATGCGCCTTCGGATAGTCTGCCGAGGCGGGCCACGCATACGGCCATGCTTTCTCTTCTTGTAGCATCTGGGCACAAGAATGCACGAACACATTAGACCATGTAAACCAGCTCGACACGCCCTTGAACGATCCGATCTACAAAGCTTGGTCTCGGGTGATGTCTCCTGATAATGATGTACGGATGAACATATAGTCGACACTGGAGATGACATGAATGACTGGAGGTGCTGTCGAGCTAGAGCAGGAGCATCCTGAAGAGGAGTATCAAAGGTTTTCAAATATCTCGTACTCGATGTTTCGCATCCTCCCAAAGATCGCGCACGTTCGTTCCACCGGGTTTGGAGTTGAGGTATATGAAGACTGGGCCGAACACCTTGCGCCAAGCTTCTCCGTTTCTAAACTGAGGGCAGAGGTCGATTCCAGCATAATGAGCACTGTGAAACATCTGGACACGAGCCACAGAAATCCAGTCAGACTTTCGATGATGTTCTTGGAAGACGACGAACAGCACATGACAGCAAAAGCAACGACGGACTTACCGACAGGCACGCAGGGCCAGTGTGCGAAGTAAGATCCTGTTTCAGGGGACCTCCATTCCTGAACTCATTACTGGCAGTGATCATCCAAAAGCCGATCATGTCGTGCTTCGACATCCACCCGTGCACCTTATTGTCTTTATTGTCGCAGGAGTACATGTACTTGTCATCCACCTATTCAACCATCACAGTGAGAGATCAGAAGATCTTGCACGATCATGAAAGCTTGAAATTTGGACGGCTGGGTCAGGGAATTCGGCCTGGTGTCAGCATCCAGCTAATCTCACAGAGTAGTACCTCTCCTTTTAGAGACGGTTCGATGGGATCCGTGAGAAGACGCGCTTCTTTATAAGCCAGCTGTTGGCTTCGTGCGTCGGACATATTATCAGGAGAAGGCATCAGCCTGAGTTTGTGGTCATCGAGTGCCATGTAATTGAATCTGCGGGCAAGAAAGTTTATTCTTATTGGATTGGTTTGAGAAATAGATCAATTCTGCTGAATTCCCATCTACAAGGGCCAAAGGCAACGATTTCAAGCAGTCCTTGACGAGTATACCAATCAGGCATTTTAGGCCCGATTGATGAATAATCAACCAATCATGCTGAAACCGATCATCTCGTCGCCATTTCGGAGAAACAGACAGAAAAATTCGATCCCGGTCAGCTGAATGGTTTCTTGGAGTTTCTGTCTTTGATAACCAGACGAATCGAAATCAAGAAAACGTTAAGAACCTGTAAGGTTTTATGTCGAGCTTACTTGTCCTTGCGGAGCATGAAAACGATCCGAGTTTGATTCAAGTTGAAGTCACGCCATCCGGCACAATGATCGTATATGCCGTACGAATAGAATCCTGAAGATCCTCGAAGCATGGCAAACCTGACAGCAGAACATCATCATCTGTCAGTTGAGACAGTGAACATTGAGATTTATAAAATGCCATTCTGAGTCTTCACTTGTATCAAGTACACAATCGAGCTGCTGTGAAGAGTAAGAAATCAGAGCTAAGAAATCGGAAAATCAACTTGATATGAAGCATGTAAACATTGACACAAATTGCCTGACATTTTATGTAACGTAGTGGATGACAATTCCAGGGTATGGGACACGAAAGTTAGACTATTAGACTGTGAAACACTGCCGCTATTTGTGTACCTTTTGTCTATGGAAAGAGGTGCCATGGGTGGTTGATGGTCGGCATCGAACGGCTTAACAAATGAAAGCTCAACGATATCATCGTTCGATTGAACAACTTTGAATTCAGCTCCAAAAGGTCTGCAATCACAGAACATCATCAGCTCCTGGAAAATGAGGAGTTCCGACACCTAGCATGCCTAAATGTCCAGCCATAATTCAGCAATACAAGTGCAATAGATTCCAACTCATCCTGAAAATGTGCATCGAAACTCACACATTGAAGATGTCTTTTGCGTCGGTTTCACTCCAATTCAAGTCCCAGTACCTAAACCAGTTCATGTGGTGATATCGAAGTTAGCCTGGAATCAGTAAATTCAAATCAAAAGAATGTACAAAAACGAGCTGCATCCTGGATGTTTGTAAGTGGAGGGCTTCACAGCCAGCGGGCAAGAACACATACCCTCGGCTGTTCTCATTCTTATGAGACTCTAAACAGTTATCTAATCCTCCGTAGCTAATACAAGTAACCAGCCCTGCGGGCTTGGATATGGTGACTTTAACAATTCCGTTTTCCAGTACAACCTGCACAGGTCGGATATGTCAGCACAGTTCTGCGTTACGAGGCTGACAGAGTGCTTAAACGATCATTCGCTGCTCCGAAGAATGCCTACATTTGGTTTTAAGCCCGACAGTTCACTCGGTTTCTTGGATTCAACTTGCATTCACAATCTGAAGTGCGAGATCAATTCTTGTGAAGACCGTGTTTCAATGACAATCAAACTGCATTCAATTTGGAAAACGATCTAAAATCCAGAGGCATTGCTTTGAAAGTCCGCAGACAAACTTTTCAAGGATCTGGTGGATAGTGAGAGAGTTTCACGAAAAGGAAGAGTCTCACGAATGCACACACTACTTCTTTGGAGAAATCGGCAACGCATGATTGCAGGCATTGACCAAATCTGTGCGTTTAAGATCTTGTGCGTGTTACCTTGTTGCCATGATCCGAGAGAGTAACCGGTGGCGCACATGAGGACATCTTACGCTCGGGAGAAGCTCGGGAATCTTTACCTGCACGTTCGGAGTCATTCATCAATGGAGGCTCAGCAGAGATTTCATAACCAGCGTAGCACTCGCCCACAAGCAGAGATTTGTCAGACATCTCTCGACATCGCATGATCCAGATCGTATGAAATCGATAACGCCATTCACATCATCATAGCGAGAGAAAGACGGTTCACACACACCGCATTGAAAACAAGCGCATCTTCTGAACATATCTACTTCTGATGTGAAGGAGTTCAAGAATCTGGAGGGACCAAAACTCGCAATTCCTGATTACAGAGTCGGGAAATGTTATTCGCATCTACTTCTGCGTCAAACAGTTGACGATCAACGAATCAGTGGAAGCACAAAATGCCGCTTCAATCAACATCATTGCAGTTCTTATCGTCCAGCGTCTCAGCTCTAGGCGCAGATGGCTAAGATTCCCGAGCCAGTTATTTTGACTTCTGTAAACTTGAGAGTTGAGCTATCGAACAGGAAGTTGCTGGTATACGAAACCATGCATCCATTGACATCCACGAGGGCAGCCCAGGTGCCTGAAGCGGGAGCTTTCAGCAATAAAGAAAGGCGGATTACAGTCCACAGGTATCCTATCTGCAATCTCTCCAAATCAGAAGCAGAGAAGTGACTAAGTGCGCAATAGACTCTTGAGCCAATACATCGACAGAACGGGATCTGAAGCCAAGCAGACGGAATTCCGGTTGGCTCCAGTTCCGGTTCGGCTTCACTTCTTCTAATAACGAATTCGACGTGAATCTCTTTCTGGTAAGACAGAGGCGGTTCTAGACGCGAAATGTAGGAAAAGAAGGATGTCGAAAGCTTGAAGAAACTTGAATCTGCAAGACTGGGCTCTCAGGAGTATGAGGAACACCTCACGTAACCTCACATTCAGCATCCGTACAGCTGAATAAGTGACAAATGATTGGGAAAACAGGGCAGATCGCTCACGTTGATGAGGATGCCTCCGAGACTCCCTTCAAGTCAACTGCCGCGGCAACTCAACCATCGATTCAGCTCGACGAAGTGAAACGATTCCAGAGAAGTCGCTGAATTTGACTGTGCCAAGTGTAGAGATGATAAATGACGTGTAGCGTCCCTTCTCGTACACACAAGGAGCAGAGGCACGAGATTCGAGACCACCACGTACCTGCACCCAAATGGACCCACTTCCAGTTGGTCCATGCAACGCCTCGTCCCTCAAAGTCAGGAACTTGTCATGACTCCCCACATAAATTGAAACAAAACAAATTTGGCAGAATATTGCCAAAAAGTCATTTCGAATATACGCAGTTATAGTTCATGATGGTCCCAAAATTTCGGGGGCAGTTATCTCAACTTATCTTCTCAGTCAGTGTCAGCTGGTGACACAGCCTGAGAACTAAGAAGCTTCGGAGCTCCAAATAATTGTTCTTCGAACTATCTCAGATTCTGATTATGCTTACACCAACCTGGAACTCCAAGCACAGATCAGTAGAGGTAGGAGATAGCCAGCCTCATGCAATGGACTTGAAGTGTTATTTGTAGACCTTACGTCTGTTTCTCGTAGTCTGAGTCTTTAAGTTGGACCTGTTATCGCTTCAGGAAGCTCAGAAATCACCCCCAATGCAGCTGTGTACGCTTCTACGGATTACACAATCGATGCATGTTCTTTCTAGATTCCTCAAATCATGAAGATTATCGTGATTCGTTCTACCCTGATACTTGGAACGAGCCTTGTGTACTTCGAACGGAAGTAATCCCGTCAGAGCACGTCGACATTGAACACGTACACGTACAGACCAATACTTTGCATTTTTTGCAATTAGCCTGCACGTCAATTGCAACACACATTCTTACACATTCTTTCACATAAGTGCACAGCACGCACTCGTAAGTTCCGAAATGATCATAACACAAGGTGAACACACGTTGTGTTATGAACGATTGTGCATTCCTTGAATGCTGTCCTTCCGATCGCTGTTAGCTCACTCCTCCAGCTCCGATGGGCACCGGAAAACATTGAATCCCACGATTTGGACAAGCATTCCTTACCTTCAGACTGTAGAATGTTTAAGTTGGTGGAGGCTGTCGTGAATTACAGGCCCGATACGCTGTTCGTAAATCAAGCCCAATGAACAGTCAAAAACTGATCTATTCGACCTCGACTTGCCTGTACGAAACGATCAGTTGCACTAGTCTATCTCAAGTGACTGACAGATAGAAGGCAGATACTTATCGAAGCATACAAGGCTTTGTGCACGTAAATGCCTGCTGTCAAGAGTTTTGCTGAGAATAAACACGTGACTCGTGCATTATTTTCTGAGTATGAATTTTGTGTTCCTCAATGTCAACGTAGTCACCCACATTCTTCAAAAATTTGCTCTCGCTTACTCACGGATTTGGATCAGGTATAGCTGAGTAAGTTAGCAATCGCTACTAAAGGATGTCCCTTATTCTGATGTCTTCTCATGAGCAGCGTCCTTAGAAGTAAGTTTCGGCACCCTTGCTCGTACTTGATTGTAATGACAACAATTGATAGATTCTGTGTGTTTGGAGATGGGAAGGGTTCACTTTATACGCTGAAAGATCTACAACTGGCTGCCAGTACTTGGTCTCTCGACAATCCGTCTACCTCTTCAGCATCATAGCTCTGTAAGCTGAGCATAAGAGAAATGTTACGTCGTCACTTCTTTCTCTCTTTTCATGCATATGCATTTTCAGCTTTTCATTTTTTTTTCACTTCAAAGAAAAGGGGCCAATGACAAATCAGGAAATTCCTCGCGATGCCCACATAAATGCATTTGTCTGTTTGGTCGATTCCTTCATTTCCAGTGATACAAGCCCGCGGGATGAACTCTAAGCTGAAACTTAATTTGCCAGTCTGTCTGACGCTGAGGAGATTGATATCCTTGTGCCACGCGTAAGGCTCCTCCTCCCGATCAGGTGCTTAGCCTCAGCTTTCTGTAACTATCAGTCGCTCTGTCTTAAAGTAAGAGCTGGATTGTCGCTTGCAGTTACTGCTACTAGACCCAATGTCTACTATTCTGCAGGTCAAGCATGTGCCAGTTTCTATTATGAGCCCTGCTGCTGCCCTGCTTGTTCGCGGGATTTGGTCCTCAGCGCCTATTCTAGATTGCAGTCTCCTCCTTCTCTTAAGTGGCAATATTCTCATCATGATAGTGCATGCTTTCTTCATCGCCTTGTTACAACTCATCATGCGGGATACTGACGTTTTGATGGTCTGTAGTGAAAGAAGAAGGTCCATCTTCGAGTTGGTCTGAAAAATTTCCTTCGTTCCCTGCGACGAGCTGTAGCTGGTGGTGGTTTCCATCCTATGTCTCTGGGATGTTCGTCTGTATTCAGCGCCAGCTTCAATAAAAACCTAGTGTAGTTTGCTCACTTCTCTAATACCTCCTCAGCCTTCTTAAGCATAATTATGTCAACTCTCGCAAGTTCAACAGCTTGGGACTAGACTCACTTGTTGCAGTATGATTCGACTCATTACACGCCTATATAAGTTATGTTCTCATAGAACAACAATTATCTAAATATGAAACACTTTTTGTTTTTTACGAAGCTTGTGAGTGCAATTTTATTAATTGCATTTGCGATTGGAAAGATATATATACAGTGAGCTGGAAGCAACGGGAGTTGCAGTTAGCAAAACCATTCGTCGACCTCACAAAAGGTTTCGCTTATGTTTTGCACTTGATATTAGATAATCCCCCAGTTAAACCGTATATATTTGATGTGGAATAAGACCAAGATTTTCAAACAGGCTAACAGCATTTTCCACTTAGAAAGGTTGCACTTAGAGTAAATCGACTGCGTTCATACCCGTCATTATTATCTCTCCCTTGTGTCCATCCATAAGCCTTAAAAAGAACAAATGATATGCTGTTTGCCCTCGATAAGTGAAATTCTTGGTCTTATTCCAAGTAAAGAATACACTAACTACTCCCAAGCCGTTTCTACTGTCTCTACAAATTCCAGCCTTACTTTATTGCCAATGCCTTCCCAGCTCGACGTTGAGCGATGGGATCAATGACTTGCTTGCTTGCTAAAATACAGTTTTAAATCGTAAATTCTATGAAACTATTCCCTGCCTCCTTCGGCAATTCAGTTACGCTGCTGTCCACTTGAGCATGTATTTGGAACTGTGAACGTTTGCGTGCTCCCTGTTTTGAGTCCACTCTTCCTCTTGATCCTCCTGATCGTGAATTGTGTGCGTGCTTAAGAAACACGGCTTAATCCACGTGCATTTACCACATTTGGACCGTCAACCCTCAGAATACTACACAACGATAAACGCCTACTCTTCTCAGTCGGAATGTCCTCCACATTTTGGCCTCTCTTCTTGGCCACTCCTTTCGCGTTCGTTCTTTGGGGATTGTAGAACCGTCGGCACCGTCCACAGCATGGCTATTGCAAACTCCAGTCGGGAAGTCTTTGGATCCTCTCAGACAAGGCAGTAAGTAAAGTTGGAACCAGCAACTCTCGTCCCTTTCTTTTTGTACTATACTTCCCGGTTGTCTATCCCCCATAAAAATATTCTCTCCTCTCGCTCTAATGTGATGGTACCGCAGTGGACCGTCCCTTTGTCCACTACCTTTTCGACGGTGAGGTTGCCTGCACTCGCGAAACGTCGATCTGACCACCCTCTTCAAGCGATGTGTCAGATCAGCTATATAGGAGACTTCGTATCCATTGTTTGACGAAGCAGAAGAACAGTTGAATCTGATTATATTCTATAATGCGTTCTCTGCATGACAGAATTGGCCGGCAGTCAATCGAATGTTGCAAAAGAAAAAGATTGTTGGTACAAACCCAGGACATGCCAAACCGATCACCTTGCAATACATCATGCATAATCAGCAAGGGGTGTCTTACAGCGAGTAAACATAAGACAGGACCAGAGATTCCCAAGTTACGTGTGACCGGATCGGAAACGCTCGTAGACCTAGCACAAAGAATGATGCAAGAGAATACAGGCAGGAAAGACAATGAACAGACCACAACATAAAACGTTCTTCGCAGGAAATCAAGGCATAGTTTAGAGTTCAGCGGGGTGGACAACCGTGGAGCAAATCCTCTGTACATATATCAACATGTACCAGATCAGGGACTTAACACAGAACAGTAAAATCATAGGACATCCAGAGTTGGATGCACCACGCTTTATCAGAGCCCAACACGGTGTCGAAACGGCTCAGTAGAAGAGCTAGCACTCCTCACGAGGGTACCATTTTCTCTTTATCACTTTACAGTGCCTTTGAAAAGGTTTAGTGTTTAGTGTATCATAGTCACCTCTGCAGCAATTTTTGGAAATTTTGCGATATTTAATGACACAGTTGAGATTCATACTGGTTCGCAGTCAAGGGCTTAAGGGACACAGGTCACAAAAGGCCCAGATAAATTTCATTAACCATAAAAAAATGCAACCTGGGTGTATCTGTTGTGTAAGCAGAGTAAATTCTCTCCTCAAAGCTTTTACAACAGATACTAAAACTAAGGGAAGGGCTTTACCCGCATGAACGAACGAATGAAGTTCACGCCCACGGGGAGTCAAAGCAAGGTACGACAAGTGCCCATGCATGCGTCTCTGAATCTGAAAATCTATCTGGTGTGATGGGACTTGAGTCTAGACCCTTTACTCTGCACTTCTTATACCTGGAGAAAGTCTTCGCACTCCGATCCCGGGCGAGTTTCTGAAAGTGGGAAAGAAGATATTCAACCGCCTTTTCAGAAAGGCGCTGACGACCTTACTTCAATGACTTGTAAACCACGTCTGTGTATGAGCGTGTGTGTGGTAGAACTCATCATCTTGGACAAAGCTTCTACCTCTGCCCGTAGGCGCACCATATATCAACAACGAATGACACATTTGACAATCCTAGCCAGCATCTTGTTGTTGAACAGTGACGGCTGAGCGCAACAGAAAATGTATGAGGCTGCACTGCTCCTTTCCGGATGGGCACCGATTGGTGAGCTTCGACTCCAAGACGACGGCAGAAATGTCTGGCCGAGAGAATGCACCTCGCAGTCATCAACTTTGGGCGGTTTCAGCCTGACCAGCTAAGAAGTGCTTGAAGACCAGCTCTCGGGCCACCTCTTCCGTGGGAACCCTGTACGTGTCGTCCCAAACCCTTTCCCGCTTGAGTTTTCTGTCGATGGCTTCTGCCTCCTCCACCCTGCCTGCTGTCCTCAACGCACTATCGAGAGCAGACACAGATGCCCTCAAAGGTTTAAGTCCTTGGCTCTCCATCCTTTCCATGAGTTCCTTGGCCACGTCCACTTGACCGTTTTTGGCACAGTGATGGATGAGAGAGGCGTAAGTGATCGAGGTCGGTTTGCAGCCCAATTCCGGCATCTTCGTCAGCAGCTCCAATGCTTCGGTGACTTGTCCTGACTTGAGATGGTTGTAAATTATCACAGAGTAAGTGAGGGCATTCGGAGCACAGCCAGCCTGCTGCATCTCCTTGAACATTTCCGTGGCGTGCTCGTGCCTGCCATGCTTGGCTAAGAGGTGGATGAGACTGGTGTACGTGATGGTGTCGGGCGTGCATCCCCACTCTTTCATCTGCTGGAAGAGCTGCAGCGCACCGTCGATGGACTTCGCCCTCCCATAGCACGTAATGAGGGCGGTGAAGATTTGGGAGTTGATCTTGATCCCCCGTTGTTGCATATCCGTCAGAATTCTATCGATCGTTTCGCTGTTTACGAGGCTCCTTCCGAGGATGCTGATAATCTTGCTGTAAGTGAACTCATTGTGCTGAAAATTCGGCTGTCGTCCGGCCCAATCGAAGAACTTCAACGCAGTTTCTGGGCTCTTGACCCGCTGCAAAACTTGGACGACAAGTCGAGGATAGATTCGGGGGTTGACCTTGTCTAGCTTATCGCCGATGGAATTCGGATGTTCATCTTCCATCAACTTGACTAAGGCGCCTGCACTCAGGATCCGACTGGCCTCAACTGCAACAGCGGGAGCACTCAGAGCTCCAGCAATTCCCTCTCCTGCCTCCTCACCCTCAGTGGAAGATTTTCCATCCACCGGAGACTCGCGTAATGCCTGGTCAGTGTGATCTCTTACATCGAGTCCGGCGTCTTTGAGCATGTTGTAGTACTTGAGAGCAGCTTCTCTGTTGCCGGCCTTGACGTGCATGGCGATCAGCGTGTGAAAAGTGGAGTAGTTGGGCTTGCAACCCAGCTCCGAAAGCTTGTCGAAGAGGTCGAGGGCAGCTTCTGGCTGACCTGCTTCCCCAAAAGCATGAATCAGCACGTTGTACGTGCTTATGTTCGGGGGGCATCCGGCCTGCAGCATCTCTTTGAAAATCTCAGAAGCGGCCTCGATCCGGCCATGTCTTACAAGAATGTCTATCAATCTGGTGTACGTCACCACAGTGGGCCGGCATTCGACCTGCTTCATTAGACCCCAGAAATGAAGAGCCGTGTCCACATTGTCGGCGAAGCATTTCAAAACAATGTTGTAGGGCCAGATGCTTTTTCTGTGACCATCTTCCACAACCAACTTCATGACCTCTTCCACGAGCTCCAGGTTTCTAGCGCGTCCCAGGCACTCCAGAAGAACAGCGTAGGCTCGTAGACTAAATCGGTTGCTGGACTTCTGCCGTGCCCATCGAAAGAAGTTCCAAGCTAGCATCGCATCACCGGAAATACGCTTGACTATCAACAAAACCAGGTGGGGAGAGACGACCTCCATGGCTTCGTCCAATTCTTTGATTGCTTCAGGAGTCCATCCCTGACTTTCCACAATCTTGCACACAGAATCCACCAATTCCGAGGTGGGATTCACGAGCTTCGGGAGATGTAAATCACCTGGTGTGGAACGACCAGCAGCTACAGTTTCAGGCTCCATAGTCGGTGTCCCCGCCCCCGTTTCCGTCAGTGCACAAAACCCATGCACCCGTCTTCCGAGCTGGTCCTGCAAGTCATCCACATGCCTCGCGCCTCGAAAACTACCTGCTGCTCGCAAAGACGACGACCACGCTGATGATGACAAGGGTCTACAGACAAGCTGAGAATTACTAAAAAGAAGACACCGTGCCTGCGCCGATGACTTAGAATTTGCATCTGCTCGGAGCAAGAATTCCTTCGAGCTCAAATCGGAATTCACATCGCCACTGACACGCCTGTCGTCAACCCTGCTGACATTTACGACGATCCTAAGCTCCGGCTGCAACACGGTGCAGGAGCTAGAGGAGGACAGCAGAGTGCTGTGGAGCACTCTCCTGCACAGCAATGCGTTCGATCGGCGTGCGAGTTTACCCGCCATGGATGCTGGCCACCACACTTTCTACAAACAACGGCGGCTTATGCACAACAATTACAGACTGACAGGCGCTCCATGTCGATCGGGCGGTGATCGGCAGCCGCGAACGACATGCCAGAATTACACAGCCTCTCTTCGTCTTCTTCTTCGACTGCCTGTGGAAGACACGGACCGAGGCAACCGACGGCCAAATCAATCCACTCCAAATTCCAAGTGGCATTCGACCTCAAAGTGACATCCTCCCGCACTCCCGTCCTCGTCTTTTGCGCAGATCTGTTCGCAATTTGTCCGCTGCTCGCTCTCCAATTTCCGAGTCATCGAACGCTTGGAGCAGAAACCCTGGCGCCTTAAGCCCTAGCCCTAAAGCGTCGCTGAAAGTTCTTCTTCAGTCAACCGTCGTCGAGATCTCCTCCACGATTCCGTGTTTGCAGAACGATGGCATGTACCAGCGCTTGCGCTTCGTCGCTACTGCAGTCGATGTGATGTTCGATATTGCTGATAGTCCGGGAACCAAGTAAGTTACTAGAGAGGATGGGAAGGGACCGTCAAGCATATGAAGCTCTACTTGGATGAATCCAAAAGTTAATCAATTGGGGCTCGGCCCCAATTTATTACAAAGGTAGAGATATTCAAAGATAGAGATATTTATTTCTCACAAAGGTAGAGATATTCACCACTCCACCACAACACGGTCCAAAGAAACACACAATCAAGTGTACTAAGAGAAACATAACGTAACTTCATGATACTTCTACGGATATCATCCACTTGTCACATTTGTAGATCAATTAATACAAGTTCACTTCAATATGCTAAATAAAAAACTATAGAAGTTGATATCCCACGTCCCTAAGAATGGTGGATATATAGGTCTGCAATTTCATGTAATTTCAAAGAGGCAACAAGCTGACTCGTATGGATACTTCAAAACACGGGCTGATTCCACTTCACTCCTACCCCATTGGGTAATCATGACTTTGGCTGCTTAAGAGTGATTCCCCCTTGAAACATACATTTACTGCAAAGAAACAAATTTAATTGAAACCGAGTATAGTTCTTTTCTAAGTAGAGTAGATTGCAATATAAACCAACCCTGACTGCATATGAGTACCCACATTCTGTTGCCATAGTCAAACAACATGGTTTACTTTTGTAAACACTCCAAGTATGAGTAGATTCTCTTCTCATGTCAACATATTGTATAGGTGGACAGGCGGTAATATTGTAGAAAAGGTAGCTAATGCAAGTGCTGATAACCTTTTTTAAATAGAGAAATTAGTAATTATTGATTAAATTGTTCTATTCTCTGAGAAGTTGTCCAGGCTTGGGCCGGTGCACGTGTAAATGTCCCCCCTGTTTGGCGCTTTGGAGTTTACATCCGCTTAAAAGTCAACTCGACCAACGACGGTTGATAATTGATCTGCACATGATCCTGGTCTATCCAGGGGCCCTTTCGTTTGCATAGTGCCATGTTCAAGACATTGCGAATCGCCAAAGACTGTCGTGAGTCTTAAACTGGTTCTTCTTAGGGTCCAGAATTTTTATTGGTCAGCGTATGGGCATGGTGCGACCAAACACATTGACTGGCAGAAGATTCGATGATGATAAGGAAGAAGAAATTCGCACTAGGCACGAACATGCTGGGCCACAGTATGGAAACCGGGCACATATTTTGAGCCGGGCGGATGTCTCTGATAAATAAAATCAGATTACATTTCTGCGCTTTACATTTTGAAGCTACAACCAGACTATAGATAAGGCAAATCGCTCTTCGCATTTTAGCCTAATAACCTCAACGTAAAACCTGCTCTTTAGTAAAACCTTTAATTACTCTTGGGCATCCGAGCCTACGAGGGTCGGCATTTCCATATCCGAGACTTGACCTCACTACCGAGAAAGGAGAAAACTTGCAGCAGCTTAGAACAGTATCCTCATTACCATTCTATTGGAGTGACAACCACTTCGCGGTGTGAGGATGTTGTTGTTACATGTCTTCTTTCAAGCGCCTCTCATCCGGCAGCGACCACTTAGATACACTAAATATACATGTTGTACAAAGTAATTGCTAGACTATCCTGACACTACTAATCGCTATCATCTTGAAAAGTAGAATGTCTAGCCATAACCTTCGATTTCTTCGCAGTAGATCCAAACGACATCTGTACAAAAAGTATATGTGAATAAGTAACATCTGAGAAAAATGGCAGTTGCGAAAAGAAACCTAAAAACACCAACAAGATCGGTACGACGATGCCAAAAGTGCAACTTCGCTTGCTAGTTGAGCTCACCTAAAGCACCCTCACATCACTAACCCCTGAGTCTGTTAATCTTTAAGGTTTAAGGGTTCAACCTTGGTGGTTGGGGCGAAATATTGAGACGAAAACATCATTAGTCTATTCAGAAATAGAAACCAAATGGAGACGGTTATCCCCGTCCCTCAAGTATTAGTTCCAAAATCGAGGACGCAAACCTTAGTAGTGGCAACCTTGGAACCGAAGCCGAACTTAAGCGTCGTTCGCTGATCTTGGGAGGCTCCAGGAGCTGGAGCACTTGAGATAGGTGTTGCAGTTGCCTTATTCTGCGACACTTGCTGCTGCTGCCTTTGAGCTTCGGCTCTGAGAATTGCGATAAGTATCGTACAAAAGTCGTAACAACTGACCATAAAGGCAGGGCCAACTCACGTAGCCTTAAAATATTACCAGCACATTTCAGATATTAAAAAAAATTTAGAAAGTACAGTGCAACCAGCACGAGATATCCAGCTCGAAGGTCATCGCATAAGACATTTCACTACTTATAAAAGCAAGAGTGAAGACGATGCATCAAAAGCTGCAAAACTCCAAAGAAATACGTGAGATCAGACAGTTGGTGCAATTGTCTGATCTCAATTGCACCAACGCCAACAAGCATCTGATTGTTTGCACCACCCAAAAATATTCAGCGAGAGCACTAGCGAACAGGATACAGCTGAGAGAACTTTGCCATCTCTTTCTCCTCTCGCAATTGCTCCCTCTTTTGTCGCTCATCTCGACTGCGACTAGCTTGTAGCTCCTTCATCTCTTTGAAACGCTGCATATTGAGAAAACATGCACCATTCAGATTTGGAAAGTTCATGTAAATTCCTCATTATAAAAATCGCCAGGAATGGACTTAACATTGTCGTCAATAACATGGTCATTAATCAGCGCGGTGATACGGACCACATCAAAGGTAGATTGACTGATTACAAACTGGTTCCATCGACATAAGACATGCAAAGTTCTTAACAAGCAGATCACAACTTGATCGCCGGCCAGAAAGTTACCTGCTCTAAAACCAAGCACATGTCTAATTCACTGCACTAGATTCGTCCTGTGGCTTCTGTTCATCATTATTATCCTTGGGTAATTGGTTCTCGTTTGAATGTGGACTGTAAGTTTCCATCCTTCCTTTGCCATCCAGATCACCCTTCGCTGTGAAAAGCAGAGATAGCGTGGCACATACATTCAAGCATGAGCTACAATGGCAATAAACCTCGGCAGGCACTGCTCGTCCAGAACTACCGCAAAAAGTAACAAGTCATACCTTCTTATGATTGTGATCATAGGAGCTTAGGTGGGTCTCGAACTCCACAGCCAGCTTGTACTGCTTGTTGCAGAGTTCACAATAAAACACCTTGCGAATCTCCTTGACTTCAGTTTGGATTTTCTGCTCACGTTCTGCCTCCACCTGAACGTTCATAATACGCATGGACCAGCCGGGGGCCCCCACCAGGATAATAAAACCCGCACCAAAACCAGCACTGAAGCCCAAAACAGGGTCCTCTCTTCATGGGCACATATCTTTCCATCACCAATCATACAATCTCATAGCCTACACCTCTCTGCTCCTCAATCAGAATCAGCAGAGTCGCGATGGACCACAAGACCTGGAAACCTTGAACAACAAGCAGCCCTGAAAGATAGCGCAATTTCTAACAGTTCGAGTTCTTCATTATCTTTTATGAAACTCAGTAATAATACACACCTCTCGCTTCTTCGCAAGTTCTTCAGTTGTCTCCAGTTCAACCTCTAGTTTTTTCCGATGTACGTTCTCTTCTGCTGTGTAAAACTCGTCTTGCTCTTGCTTTCCCAACCCTAATTTGGGATCCCGAGTGCCGGCCTTGATAGGTTCAGTGATCCCTGATGTAAACAGTGAGTGCCTTAGAATCTCATAGTAAGCTCCTCCTCGCTTGGCAATTCTTGCAGATAGATTATAAAGACAAAATGCAAAAAACCGACCATCGCACAAGCTTGCGTCATGAAAATGATGACGTCACGAAATCCACTTTCAAGGATCGGAAGATTATATTACTGAGGTCATACAAACACTTGTAAATTAAATCGATAGGAGTACTATGCCAGGATATGGTATCCAATAGGTGGCGACAAAGTCTCCAGAACTCACCAACCAGATGATCAAAGCCAAACTTGGGCAAGCGACTGATAGTGATCAACTCTTTTCTAAGATGAGAGATCTTGATACAGGATCGAAATGTTCTCATTCTCTATAAACAAGAAACGTCCCGGTTGATGCCGAGCATTACAGAATCAAAAGAAAGAGGTTCTCAGAAAAACCCTAGACCAAAGAAGTATTTAAAATTACCTTGCTCATCTTTACCAAGACCTTTACCCTTCCAACCCATCTTCTGCAACAACTTAAAGCCTACGTTGGACGATGAAAGCTGTGTGTCAACGGACGCTTGTTCCATATTGTCCATTCTCAGGTTCTCCGAGGGCCTATGCGAAATGGGGAGAAAGAAATCCTGCCCCATGTCTTCTGCAAGTGAATCTTCATATGCCTGTTCCATCAAAAGGAAATTTTCAAAAAAAGTAAACCACTAAATCTGTACATGGATCGTGGCCGAAATGGAATCTGAGTGGCCACGACAACATACCTTCCCTAAAGAAAATCCCACTCGACAAAATGAGGCTAGACTGCAACGGTGACATCAGAGAGGGTGATTCCCGCATGTTTTGCAGATTCAAGATACTGAAGGATACAACGAGAATTCAAATGATGTGACTGACTAGAAAAAGCTGACTAAATTTTGTATGTCTAATCTTTGAGCTAATATTTTCTCAGATTCGCAAGTCACACTTATTGACGGGCAAACCTGACCACCTCAGAAGTCCACTAGATCGGGAAGGCACAAGCTAAAAATGTAGTGCCAACCTTACCACGCTTCTCAACATACACATGTCCAAAGACATCGGTCAGGCTCAATGATCTGTCTACGAAGAAACAATTGCAAACCAAACAGACAAGTGTCACAGACAGACAAACATGAGATCCTAGCACCTGTTCGCGCTCTCGTTGACGCTTCTCTTGAGCATACTGCGCGTAGTCGCCCTGCCGTCTCCCCAAATCCATCGCTCCTTCCCTCTCCTGCGCTGCGGCTGTCAAGAGGCATAAGAGGAGCAATCGTCTGCGACAAGTCTCGGCCAACAAATTGAGCGACTCGACTCTAAACTACCGCTCCCTCAACTCACAATCACCATCCGAAAGCAATCCATCCCATGCTGACACCCCTTCCAAAAAACCTGCTCTTCTCCCCCGACGATGTGCGTATGTTGAGAATCCGGATTGGGCTTCTATCGCCCACTTCGCTTCAGAGGCATTCACAAGATTCACGCTTGAGCCTCGACTTTTCCCGTCCCTGTTGCGAGCTCGGTAGATACCTCAGCACTCTGCGAATATTATTCTCACGCACGAAGAACTGGCATCCATGTTACCGCCTTACTCCACATTGTGCATGAACGTTCACTCGTCGCACAAGCCTCCTGTCAAGGTTTTTATTATGGCTCTGCATATCATTCTTTGTAATAGGAGCATATTTTGGAGTAGAGTTATGTCGGGACTGAACATTCCGAATCATCGCTTACCTAATGGGAAAGATTGGAACTAGATCATAGAAACTTCAATTGCAAAGGCGACAAGCCCTTAATCGAAACGATGGTAATCACATGCGCCGCAGGGCAAAAACACCTTCTGAGATGTATGCTGTGGAGAGGGGCTGCGTGAATAGGGAGGGACGGCAGAAAACATTATTTCCGCTTATTTGTGCGTCTATTCCTTACTTCATGATTTCGCTCGTTGGTTGGTGTCTGGAACTCTAACGTTTTTCCTATTGCTAAAGTGGTTACATTGAGGTGAAACAGTTGAACAAGTTCGAACTTTGTATCTTCGAAATTTGAAAAAGATATTTTACTTCTACTTTCTATCATAAGTGCATATTGATTTCGTAGAAGCTAATACTGCGAATCGCATAAATGATCTAGCACATTCTAAAGAAAACTAATAAGAGAAGTATGAGAGCCTGTTTGCCTTGTGATTGAATACATGTGGCCCAATGAGATGTGATTAGTAGATTCGAAAAAATTTAAAGAATGCATTACAAACAAAAACATGTGGGAAAGTTTTAATAAAATAAATGAATATACAGGTATCTAGCGAAATGGTTTTAAAATAAATTTTTTTCCAGTTGTAACAATTTCACCATTTTTAGAATACAGCAGTTGAACAATCAACTTTTACAAGTAGTCTCTACTCTTAAGTAACAATAAAATCGGAAACTTGCTGCACCAACACCTCATTCCGAAAATACAAAAAGACAATAATTTTTAAGAAATTATTGATTCTCATGTTTTAAAGAATATATGACATAATGAATAAATTAATTGATGGGAATCCGGGAACTAAAAACACTTGATGGTATCCAACAGGTTTCATTTTACCAGATGTAACCATCAATCACCTGCAACCCCACTATCATACAATAACCCCAAATAGTATTGTATGGGGTTATTTCCAAGGGTCACCTCAAGACCATATCGAGCGTAATTCAAGCTCATGGTGCACTTCTTTTTCTTAGACATGGTTGAGAACTAGTTGCCAAAATACTCTGTCCCGAAAGTGGCAAACACTCTCCACTCTATAAACCAAATCAGTAGGTTATAAGAACATGGCTGACAGTGACCGTGGAATGGGTTCCCATCACGTAAAATGAAACCTGATGGGTCCATTCAAGAGCGTTGAGTTTCCAAAGGGTACCATCAAGTCATTCTCTGATGAAATAATAAATGATAATAACATTCTATGTTATTTTTTCTATTCAAAGAAATCCTCCGTATCAATTTGAAATTAAGATTGTGAACCTTAAAAACGCTTTGAAGCAACGAAATGACATATTACTCTAAGTGGAATTACTCCTTTTATATTGACTTGTATTATTTTAAATTCACATTTAAGCATTTCAGATTTAACTCATCTTTATGTTGTACTACTATGTAAAGATAATTGGATTCAATTATTATTCATAATTTCAATCAAACATCTATACATATGATTATTCAAATCTTCATATATATATATATATATATATATATGCCAAAATTCTTGTAGCTTCATAATCAAAACTTCAAGATTTATACTTTTCGATGAATAAAAATATAATCAGTAATGAGGTTATATACAAACACATATATCATTTCTTACTTCATTGACTTCATCAATAGAGTTATACAACAGATTTTATAATTAAAAAAATATGAATTGAAGTTTAAAAAAAAAATCCTCAGAATTTTTTCTTTATTTTTCTTTGAATAATATTATACTTATAAAATGAAAATAATAACTTGTGTAATATTTTATCGATTATTTTTTAATTTTTTTTGAAAATAAAAATATAAATAAAAAATAATTCCTTAATCTAATTTTGTTTCAACTTAAATCAAAACTTAATTTATCTATAAGAAACCAATCTCTTATTTCCAAGTCATCACTGACAACATTGCAAACATAATTTTTTAACAATTGAATCTTACACATTGCAAAAAGAAATGAAATCGTTGATTTAGTCAAATTTTAACTTTTTTCTTGCCTCTTACTATCAAAAATCAATTTTTTTTTCATAATAACATTAATCAAGTCAAATATGATCCGTTATCATATGTTAAACATTTAAACAAAACTTTAATCTCAAATTTACTTATCTAGCTAGCAGTAATTTTGATCCATGTGCTCATTGAACTTGATTCAGGTAAAAATAATCCTTTTAAATTATTTTAAAAAAAAATATTAATCAAGCCAAAGAATTTATCTGACAAGGATGAATTTATAATCATTACACTCACATAATAATTTCATCAAGAAAATATTTGTGAAGATGTCTCTTGTCATTATTTATTCACAATCACTATATGGCATAATGACAATGTTTTCACTATTTTCAACCTAGTAAATTTTGAACATGAAGGCTGATTATTACATTTCAAAGGTAGTATGCAAGATATTTAATATTTAATATTTTTTCTTCTTATCATATATGTAAGAATTTGAGTATGTTAGACAATATTTTACAAGGATTGATTATGACAATTTATTATCCTAAAACCAGTTAAGAAATATAACAAGATTTTAAACGATATTTTCTTTAATTTTATTTATTAGTATACTTGTTTTCTATACACAATTTTTCATTTCAATTATGATCAAAATAGCTCCATGGAAAAATTGGTTCTAAAAGAAATTATTTTTTACAATCGCTTTTTACCTTTGGCTCTACACTCTGTATTTTTACAACACAATTTTCCAAATCATCAAATCAGAAAAAAACTGATAGAAAAATGTGAAGTTGAGAAAAAAATATTTATGCACTAGAACTTATGAATCATTATAGTATTACGAACGTCAAGATTTCAATCAAATTGAGCAAAAATGTCTATGTCACTATAAGGTATGTACCGTAAGTTGTAAGATTAGAGATTCATGAAATCAGAAAAGCTTTTCAGTCACTACAGGAATTCAAGTACTTGGATGATATCTTTTGCATACAAGCGAGAGAGTGGATATCTTTGACATATATGTGTTTATTTTGATCCATTGCTATCTATTGCTTTTGACATAACTAATTGTAATCACAATTTGTACCATATATAATGCATAGACATTATGGTTTTTGTTGATAAGTCTTGTCTTATCACTTAAAGATGTCTTCTTAATTAAACGGCGCTTTTCTAGCTATTAATGCTTTGACAAATCAAAGTTTTAGCAATTTTGCATAAGTCATCTACTTTGGAGTAAAAAATTAATATCGATGTGATACATCTTCAAGAAGTATCTTGGATCATATACATTCAATATCCTATGATACTAATTACCAATCAGGTAAGATTAATTGCTAGCAGTGTGTCAACAAATTTGTAACCATGCATTTTGCTCAAAGCATCATATATTTGAATTCTAGTTGTACTCTCTATCCAATTGAATTTCTTTTTTTTTCTAAGCTTTTTGCAAAGTTTTGGAAATACATAGTCATGTCATTTGACTCGTGGTTCCTTCAACCGCGTCAAATCTTCAGCAGTACACATTGGCTTTGTAATCAAAATGTGAAAAGTATACATTTTGATAGTGTTGTGCCTAGTGATGGGTATGTATTAAATCTGTATATAATAGAGGGTTAAAATAATTGCATTGTATTTTATTGTATGAAAATCTACTAAATTAGAGCATCATCTTGACCAAATAATTCCAATATTAACTGCTCAACATTCATATCTAAGGTCCAAGAAAGCAAACTCTCTATTTTCATTTATGGCAATATTCTCCAATCATATTGGATGACATCATCTGATGATTTCATGCAATATGATTCTGACTTTGGTTCTTGCGTTCTCATCAACCGCAATCGTGAGAGATGAAAATCTCTTGAGTAAATGTTACCTCTCTTTATCTTTATGAGATATTTTTGGTCGACACAGAACCGCATCATTGTAGCATATTGCACTTTGAGTTTCTACTTTAAAGCTGTCCAACTTGATTTGAGCTTTAAAGTGCACCCGCTTGTCCATCTTGTGATTACGCTTGTCACAGAAAGACATCATAGGAAGTTGATGAACTAAAAAAAGGGCAAGAGATAGACATTTAAATTCATCGCTCATTTGCATCCAAACTATATGTGAATGCATAATTTTTAAGTTGGAGATACAGATTGGATGGATCAATGCGGTGTGCTATAAATCAACAAAAGTCAATGATCAGCTCTCCAACTAGGTCAGGCGAATTCTTCTCAAACTAATGAAGAGCTGGTCGGCATTGCGCTAGAAATCAACAAAAGTCAATGATCAGCTCCCCAACTAGGTCAAGCAAATTCTTCTCAAACTAATGAAGAGCTGGTCGGCATTGCGAGTTCATGAAACTCTTTTCCAACTCCACAAACTCCAAATTTTACTTGATCTCAACATCGATGCAAAATTGATAATAATATGGATCTTTATAGAAGATCAATGCCATGAACGCAAAATATTTCATGGTTAATCGTTGATGAAGCAACTTTACAAGCTCCTTGATATGATAGTATTGTCAAAAATTGTGCGAGTTTCCTTTCAACGAGATTCAATGTGGATTTTGATTAATAAGAAACACGCCTAAATGGAGTAAAATGTAGAAGCATCAACTTCCAAATGTCTAGTGGTTACACAAATGTTCCAGCGAAGAACTTTCATAGCTGTTGATTACTTCTAAAAGATGATATCAAAAACGCGTTGCTTCATAGTCTCATCAATATCGATATACATTTCACCAACAGATATGGCAGAACGAAGAAGAAAAAGACCCATATTGTCCAAATTCAACGTACATATACATGCTTGTGGTCCATCAAGATTTGATGAATATAATGAACACATAAGCGATTCTAAGTTTCTATTTACACAAGGTGTTATAAGAGAGCAGTGAAGATGAATGCAAATGATTTTCACCAAGTATACTGCCTCCTTAACACTCGCTTTCAGAATATTGAAGTTCTTGAAAATATCTAATGTGAAATTATGAGTACCATGTGGAGTACAGCCAATTGCAACAGTGAAATATGGCAACTGAAACACCTTCTTATAAAGCAAAGCCATTACACTCAGGTTATTCAAAGTAAACGAGAACATAATTTTGGTCAATGAATAATGAAAAAGCGGCTAAACATCTTGGTTTTGATCCACATCATCACTATGAGCAGTTAAAGTCAGCATCTATTGCTCTTTCGCCTCAACTAACTTAACCAAAAGATTGTGAGCATTTTCTCAACATAGTTTTATTGCAAAATGTTCAAGAAAAAAAACTTTTTGAATAAATGTCATTAGATTCAATAGCTGTTTACTTTGCATGTTTATGGCACTGTCCAGAGAGAAGCTGAAAGAAGAATATTGTTGCATACAACAAAGTACCTTGTTCATGACATTTGTGTACAAAGACATCAGTAGATTGATGCCAATAGTTTGCAAAGTAGGAGGATTCCAAAGAAATTAAAGTGCATAAAAGATTTTCTTCCACAATGCATGTTTAAAGAAGGTGAATGCAGTTTACTTATGATGCATTGCATTCGCAAACATACTGTCTAGATTATGAAGATCATTGACAGAAAGACAATCAACAAAAGATCATGGATTGATTCGACAAAGATTTCTTGATTCGTGAAACGATATTTGCTACACGAACCCCTCATCCTCGGCATTCACTAATGATTGATTCAACTTGACTCTCTTCTTCAACAAACTGCTAATCATTGACGATGATGAAGACTTGAGATGAACTTCCATATCATTTATTGCATTTGCAACACAACATGCTTTCAGCAAATCAAAGATTTAAGTCATTTGGTGCATGTCATCACATGCGCTCCCAAACAAATGACCTTGGCCGTGACAAGTGAATTGTACTGCAAGCATATGATCTTCAGAGTCTTTTGTTTGCCAAAAAAAAACTTGTTGGAATAGAATTGACTTCATATAGAGTGCCAAGGTTGGCCGTCGGCTGTAGACTTTGACTTGTTTGACATGCTCAAATGGTGAAAAATACTCAATTTGCAATGTTTGTAGGAAATTCGCTGTCTCATCAATGCATCTACAAGTCATATACTTGCATTATAAAGAGTTTAAACTCGCTTTGGATCAATGTACAAGTTCAAATTTGTATAATACTATATAATACAATATTAATCTCACAAAAATTAAACTTAGTATTATACATAAACCCATGTGTGCCGCAATCTTACTGTATCAAACAGATGACACAGAGCTTTTGTGTGTGGAAGGTGTTGATTTCATCGTAACTTGGCAAAAATCTTCCTCAGAGTGCTAGGCATTTGAGTTCTTTGTGTATAGTGCTTTCTAATATGATTTTCTTAATCTCTTGCGTCATATTCCGTTACCTTCACATGCCGTGACGTTCCTTCCATCAACCACATTGTGCTTTCCACTAAGTTAGGTTTCATATACGATTTAAATTATTTTTTGGTCAAATTTGATCCAAAGAGCAATAAAAAACAAAAATATGCTCTATTTTTTTCTTTATTGTGTGCCTGCAAACAGCTACAAATTTTGTTCAATTTTTTTTTGCAATGATGCATTTTATAAATAAAATCTAAAAAATAAGATTTACTTCACTAAATTAAAAAATTATTTGCATGATGATTAAGGGTATGAAATAAATGTATTTCACACATATTTCCATATTTTTTGTAATAGAATGAATTTTGAAAAAATTATTCACAAACAAAAAACATTAAAAAATATTTCAAGGATAGATGATTGTTAAAGAATGGACAATCTAATGTAAGTATAAGAAAATTTCAAAAAGAAGATAAACTTTTTTTTTCTCTAACCAAGCAATCAAAAAGAATAGTTGAAAATTCTAGAATTATAGATATGTGAAAATAATAAACTAATTTTTTAATCTATAATGATAATGGAATTTTATGAGATTAAGAACAAAATCTTGATATATTTATGAGAGAATGTGCAAAAAATCATCGCAAGATACTTTCATGAAATGTATGCTGTAATATTTTCGAATGTAGGTATGTTCAATTGAAATAGGAATTTTTTCAAAGAGCAACATGTATTGATACACATGTCTAAAACTTTTAATTGGTTTGAATAAAATTGGAAGCTTTTGAGGAGAAAGAAAGATGATGTCAAATCAACGTGTAGTAGATTATTTTTAGATCTTATGTTAAACTAACAAACTTACATCCTTGTTAAATATGAGTATGTATGCTCACTGTTATCTTTGTCACGCTATCAATCTACAAGGAGTTTGATGGATGTTGGCCGGAGTTTATCTGCTTCTATCTTTTGGGTAGATCTAACATGAAGTATAAGTAATCTTCAGAGTTTGGTGAAATAGAAAGTGATTATGAAATGATCAAATGGAAAACACTTTGTTAGAGTCACTCTGCCAAAAAAAGTCACTTCTCATCTAATTAGGTCTGAAGTAATTAGCTGAAGGACCCGTATGAAGGACTTACTTTGATGAAGTTCGGACTCTTCCGGTGGTAAAGTTGAAAATAGGTTCCTTCTCTCAAATTGTTGAGAGGCAAGACATTTAAGGACGCATCTGTAAGGAGAGTTAGATGTGTAATACTATATGGTAGATGTCTATAGTTGTGGGTACAATTATTAAGCTCGGTTCTTATTCCTCTACTTACTAACACGTTTCCTCTGCAAAAGTATTCTTCGTGCCTCTGTCCGAAAGTTTGGCCAAGGACAAGGTACTTGGTCAGTGTTATTGGTGTCCATCTCTCTACCGGAACAAATCTTCTTATGCTCTCACCCTACGATTTAATTACACCGGATTCCTGTACTACTCATCAGAAACTACTGGAGAAAGACGTACCAAACATCCTCCGTATACTTCTCTCTGAGAAATGTCAATACCTGCCCTGTGACTTACAGATGGCAGCGTTGGCCATAGCTCTCTTGGATCCCGCCTTATTGCAAGGAAGAAACAAACTCATACGATTGCTAGAAGCAATAATGCACGATGTCACAACAGGTGGACCTGACTTTGCTAGTAGTAAACACAAGAAGCCAGTAGTTATAGATCAAGTGATTAGGCTTCCTCTCTCTATTTCTGATTCTTCGTACTCTACACAGACCAGAAAGTCAAAAAACTGCTTTCCCTGTGCTCTTCAATTTGGGATTAAAGGTCAGAGTAGGCGCACGCAACAACAGCTCTCCTTTCCTCCCTTTATTTGGTACTTGAGTTGGAAGAGTTCTGGTGTTTTAGGCCGTGGTCCCCCGCGATGTCCTTCCTTTCTCCTGACTTTACGTGTACTTTGCTGTTCCGTTAACCTGGGCTGTCACTGGGGTAGAACAAATAATTCAAGTACCAACCGGACTCATGATAAAGCACATGCTATCACGTTCATCCATCGCTTGATGCATTTCAATGTCCTTGTTTTCAGTACATAATGCCTTGCTACCCACCCGAGTTCACTTATGATAGGATGACCACAGAAGAATTACAGTCTAAGCTGGGATCCTCCTCCACATCCCCTAAACCGTCATATGATTACAGCAATAAATGACGAGAGAAAATATGAAGATAATTTGATTCACCAAATCATTTGTGTTCTCAAGCTGCAGTATTACGCCTACATCCTTTCGTTAGTGTGCAACGTGTGCCTCAAATCATCTGACTGCAGAAACCGAAATCTCTTTTCAGTAATTAAACGGCGCCTAACATCTACGATCTGGAAGGAGCTTCACACCTCTCCAGCTTATCTACAACGACAGTCGATACTGAATTGACGTCTATACTAGTATCTGTAAGTATACATTGGTGATATCCACTACGCTACAATGTGAGAAGCAAGCTGAAACGTAGAAAAATGAAATTCATTGCTGAAGCTAAAATTCATCTCATTCAAGACTAAAAGTCATCTCAAATTGGCATTTGAACAAAGTTGTTCAATTTGAAACCGGTATTACATTTCTCAGGTTACAAGCGCCAAGCTGAGCTCTTGCGCGGTCGAATTCTCCGACTCGGCGTTTGTGCTTTCTTGACCATTTGGGGAACCTCTGTCCCAAAGGCCTTATATTTCACGTCAGATTTTACTTCGAAAGTAACAGTCTCACCTCTTGATGATGAGGCCAGGATCAACTGATCCCTGATTTAGCAGCATTCATTCCAAACAATAATGTCGAGAAGGAATGTCTGACGATAAGCAAGACACCGTTCGCTCTAGTCGAAGGAAACAACTAAGGCTTTGAAGCTGTGAAAAATCTACCTAGATCTCTTCCCTACACACTAAGTTACCTTGCCGTCATATTCACAAATCCTCTGCAGGAAACTTAGGAGACATTCTCTTCCGTCCGACCGAAAGTTCTCGGTAACAACTTCTTCCCGAAATGGGCCTTCTCTAGACGATGAGTGAATTGAGAATCCATCTCTCCTGAACTCTCCCGGTTGTGCATGGTACAGTCGAACCTCCCTGTAGGGAACATGAGATGCAGCTCCGGCACCCTTGAAAGCTCCCCTTGCTCGAGAAGAGGAAGTAACTCCTGTGATAGCCTGGATAGATGTACACTCAAACGGCAGTCATCTCGACTGACTGCCATGGCATGATTTCCAGTGGACGGAACCGGACAATCTAAATCCTGGATTGCGGAAACCGCGCCCTACTAATACTTGAGGGAAGTATATGAGAGCAGTGCCGAACCCTCTGCGAGATTAATAGGGCTTGAATCAAATGACTCGAGAGAAATATGGTCCAACTGCGCTAACAGTGGATAATGGTGACTTCAACGATCTGTACAAGCACCATACCCCAATCATTACACGAGATCTGCTCTACTTCCCGCTTCTTCCTACGCTTTTGGCCCTCCGTCCATGCAATTGGAGGAGATGAGCCACTAACTTAAGCGCAAGGTGTTCGGGAGTCTGCGAAACGCCGAGGCTACCGTCGTTGACGAGATATCACAATTTTCACCGTGAGGTTGCCCTTGCATTCCTGTCTACCAGTACCGGCGCACAGAGATGTCGCAGCGATAGCAGATCATAACAAGCGCAACCAGCATTGAGCTCCCTGCACCCGGGCGATGGGACCGAACTGGTAACACTGAAAACCCTTCAAACTTAGAAGCAGAGGCAGACTAATATCACCACTGCGATTCTTGCGAGGTAATCTCCAACCGTACTCGTACATATGAACAGATCAAAATCAAAAAACACCAAAGCACTCGTTTCTCAAATCCTGAGAAGGAAAATGCTGAGTTCTGGTCCGCCACTTCCGTCAGGATTCATCATGTAGAAGGCCTCAGAATCTCTCGAGCCAATTACTCTCTCAAAACGGGCCCTCATGTACATGAGCTCACCATCAGAACTCTCCTCCTCCATGGGCAAAACTCCAGCTCCCATGGACACCGCCTGCACGACGGTAAGTATGTGACGATCGAACTCGGAGAACATACGCCGAATAGCATAGCCCGTCTTCCTGCCGTTGCAAAACATGCTCCAGATGGGCTCCTGATACAGCTTTCCCCTGTTGGGCGTCTTCTCACATTCCAAAGCGATTCTCACCAAGCCCGACGCCATTTCCCTCACGAGCGTGCTGGTCGGGGTTGCGAGCTCCAGAATCAAGGTGGGCAGGGACCTGGGATCCTCCTGTACTGCGAAGTGGACATGGCCCTTTCTGTGTCCGAATATAGTTCCTGTGACTCTGCTACCAAGAATCAGAGCTTCTCGGTGGGACGGCATGGAAAGCCACTTGCATGGCGCCATCATCTGAAACGAGGGAACGATGTGGAGCAACGAACGGACCATAGCGATGAACTTCTTTTGCTTCGTGTTCGTGTGCTTGGCCCGAACCAGCGCAAACTTGCTGTTCTCCATGGGACTCCCGGGACTGCTCGGTCTCGTGGGACTCAAGCTCTCCGTCGGAGTCATGAACTCCTCTTGGTGAACTTTAGACATGGCTCCCATGGATCCGAAGTCCCCAAAGTAATCGAAAACTGCGTTAGGAGCCAGCTTGACCCTCTGGGGGGTGTACACGGAAGCAATTTTGCCCCGCCGGTTAACAGAAACCCGAAATTATGGCGGCAGCCCTTCTCCTCAGCGTTAGGACCACTACCTCTGCCTAGAGCCAGTCAACCACCATAACCCGTAGCCTACGTAGGAGTTGAATTCCTCGTGCATGCGTCGTCTCGCCACTTGCCAACGTATCAATTCGACGACGCTCGCCGAGTGACACAAGTGCACAGCCGACAATAATTTCGTTTTCTTGATCAGAAAACGAGTATACGTGCACCTGCGTGCCGGGCTCCAACACGGCCGAGGGGAAGTCCGCTACCTCGACGTCGAGATCTTCATGGAGAGAAAGAGAGAGCGCGCGCGATCCTCGGATACGAACTACGCGGGACTCGGCTCCGTGACAGAAGAGGGAAGGGATTCAGAACAATGTCCGGAATGTTCCACGCGAGATAAATTCAGTGGTCCTGAGTCGGATTCGGAATCTGAAGCCCTTGCGATCCTTATAATAACTGCTACACGTCCTTCAGACTTGCAAATTAGAGTGCACAAACGCGAAGGAGCGACGGAGGGGGAGGGGATCGCCAATGACCGCAGGAGAGAAAATTGCAGACGCCGACGGGTGAAGTGGCAACAACTGCGATGCGATGAGAAGTCGCGAGCACGAGGCGCAGCCGGGGCAGAATCCAAGAGCAGAACGGGAGCAGATTATGGCGACAAAAGCGACCGCGCGAGGCAAGCAATAACGCTGCAGCGAGTCCGCAGATCCCACGAGCTTCAGCTGCCTCCTGCAGACCGCGACCAGATGAGATGAGATAGAGCTAGCCCAACAAACAATCCCAGCTTCGACCCACGGATATCTCCTTCCCCTCCGCTTCTCGGCGTCGTCCCTTGCGTCGAGCGAGCGAGCGAGCGAGCCAGGCAGGCGGGCAGGCAGCACCGAACGAGCAGCCGGGCGAGGAGAACAAGTCTGCGGACGGAGGAGGGCAGCGCTGCAGGGCACTGCAGTGGCCAGACGACGCTGCAGAGCAGGCAGAGCGGAGCACAGAGTCCAGAGCACGGCCAGGCCAGAGGACGAGCGTCGGAGCAGGCGCAGGAGAGCGGACGAGGAGCGACTCGGAGGCCTCGTAGTGGTAGTAGTAGTGCGAGAGGTAGTGTAGGCGACTGTAGTATAGGCGGAGGCCCTGGATGGGGATGGTGACGGGGACGGCGATGGGGATGCCGACGGGATGATGGGGCGGGCGCGCGGGCGCGCAGTCTTCTTCGTAATCTTGGAGCTCCACGTAACCTCCCCGAATTACCGCGGCCCTCGTTCTTACCCTAGTGTGTTCCCTCCCCGTCCGGATCTCATGGCAACAAATCTGGCGCGCGAGAAGCGAGTCCCGGACGTAGAAGAACAATTACCATGTTCTTCTACGTCTCCGTGGCCCTGCGGCGCGCGAGTGATCGCGACAGGCCCAGCCGAATTTGGTCATTCTTCGCTACCGGACGAGCGACGTTCACTAAACTACCGACCGACCAACCGGTTGCCCCGCGCTTCGCAAAGTCCACCGCCACGTCATCTCCCACTATTCAGGCCTTTTCGCCGCACCGTTTGACCGAGAGCGATGTACGCCTTGCTCGTACGTATCCTGTCACGCATGTATACGGTTGCGAGTTGGGAAAGATGATGAGGTCTGCTTGGTTTCACTCGAAGCGAGAATATGTAGCAAAATAGAAGTCGTTGCAAATGCGCATTCAATATTTGCCCGATCTGCACGATCGTACTTGGAAATTTCTCTCCATAGCCTCGTAGCAGAAGTCGTAGGGCCGTGCTCTGCTTATGAAGTCTCATGTCTCGCCACCCGATTCTACCTGCCCACCCTGGAGCGCCCTACTACGGCAGGTCATAACAATCCAATAAGCAAATGCCGTATGATTGTGGGAACGATCCCCACCTCTTGAGGCGGAAACACATGTAATAACCTCATATCGAAAGCATTAGTACTGTGTTGTCAAAGATGGATGACACTTAATAATGTCACTTCTCTGCGACGAGGTCAACTTCCGAGCTCTGCCGAGCCTCACCGAGTAAGATTGATAAGTGGTGTCGAAAAGTGGGGAAGAGCATACAAACGTGTCCTACGGGTGTCATCAGGAGTAAAAGTGCGAACGAAAGCTAACAAGATGAGCATAATTCTCCAGCTCCACCCCTTTGCATCGTATCAGTGGAAGATGTCGTGGTCGTACACAACTTCGAACTTCAAGTTGACGCGATTTTATGCGTTTGCGTCCGACGTGAATCATCGAAGTTTCAAAGTCCTTGCGTACTACTCGATAGCCTGCCGACTTCCTTTTCAATTTTCGCCTACGTGATCCATTGTTTCAATGATCTTTCTTTGGGGATCTACGTTGGGAATATTTGCGATCAACCGATAAAGCGAAGCATGCCAAACGATGAAAAATCATGACACCAAATCTATGTCTCCCGGGCTTGAAGGTATCCCTTCCAAACTCCGACCCATGCAGCGGCCCCCTCTACACCAACCAGAATTATAGTCACAAAGGCCCCCGGGAAAAACCCCGCACTTCATCATCATCATCATCATCAAGGCATGAATATCCCACAGCAGGGCGCAGTGCTGCTCCCCACCAATACTTTTTGACAGTTGGTCGAACTGTCAAACAACCGCCATGATACAGGAATCGGAGTTCAAAAAAGGGCTCTAAACTACTTTAACCTAATGCAAATATTTCCTCTTTCCGATGCAAACATTTGCAATCATCACAAGTTTCAAATGACCGACATCTGAGCCCAGCGTACAAGCCTACGAGGCCCATAGCCCCGCCCGTCCGCAAAGCTTATCACCACTCCAGGATCTTGGCAACGCGAGGGACGAGGCGCAGATCACCCGGAAGGGAATGAGTTAGAGACTCCATCAGAGCAGAGTTAAGTGCAGCGTAACTGGCTCCGCGCGGGGAGCCAGCAGATTTGCCTCTGCCCAGACCGATACTCTCTGTCTTGCGCCTCGTACGTCATGGCTACATGGTCGGTTCCCGTTGACGCTCGGTGAGTGAACAGCGCGAGCCATTAATTGATACTGCCGCATGAGAATGTCATCGCAGTTCGTCCATTTACAAGATTCTCAACACCGCAGTGTAGGAAATGAGCATCATGCCCATGTAGAGTAGAGGAGACTCCGGTTTGAACGTACGTACGACTCGTGAGGAGCGCAAAAACCGAGGGACATGATCGTCTTATTAACAGATGTATGCCAAACACGAGGATTCTGACGTCTGTATTCGATGATAATCTACAATTTGGTAGCAGGATGCCGGCACCATTTCCTGGACATAAGAGTCCGGCGTAGATCACCTATGGCGGTCGGACGGACGAGCTGCACTACACGTCTACATGGTCAGCAGAAGCAGCCGTAGCGCCAAGCCAGCTGCAGCTCCAGTTGCACGTCCGGTGCAAGTGAAACTTCATGTCTTGCTCGTCTCGTATAAATGTCAGTTGAGTACAAGAGAGCGACGCAAGTGACGATGGAGAAAACTTATGGACTTCTTCGAGGTCCAACGCAGCGGTGCCAGCTCCTTCTCGGTACTTCTCAGAGTCTAGGGGGTATGGTTTCCTTTGACCTGAACAAGTTGGGCTCATGGGAGTTGGGGCACATCTGGAGTTTCATCGGCGAATATGCTACAAGGATTGAGCCACCCCATCACTTTCATCGCTGAACGACCCAGGACCTCGATTCAACATGTTGCCATCGCTCACATGCGTAACCTCCTTCCTTCTCCCGCTCGTCACAAGTAAGGACATTCCTTCCTTCAAGGTTCATGTCGTCGTCGTTCCTCCCCATGATTTGACCGAACCCAAACGTGTGGAGTTTGCCTATGAGTTTGGGGCGACCTGCGCAGGTCAATCCTTCACCATGGTAAGCGAGGAGGTAACCCGCGGCAGACCAGCCACGTGTCCACAGTTGCGATGGAAGCACGGAAGGACGGGAGGGGAGTCGCAGGGGCTGTGCCCGGCTTTTCGGGTTCCGAGCCCTCTATGCTGTGGCGTACCACGGCGTCAGGACTGTGGTACAGTAGCCCAGACCAGGGGTTGTGTCTGGGGAACGGAGTCAGTCCCGGGCCCGGGCCCTAGGGGTCGGCCGTAGAACCTTCCGGGATCTCTGTGGCGGGCACGCGATCCCCTATTGCACCGAGCAGAAATATCAGATCTTCTATTTCCATGTAAGAAATGCATCGCGTGGCGAGTAGGATGCGAAAACCCCCATCGAGCCGTACGTGGATGCAACCGAAGGAGTAACATGGGGCTAGGATCTTCTGGTTCGAGGTTGTAACTTTCTTCGGATCCATTTTTTTTAGCCCTTGGAGTCGAATCCAGACAGCTTCGTCTCCGAGAAATGAATTTTAACATCGGTTGGAAACTGACCCGTAATCTTTGCCAAAAGTATCTGAAATTCATGGAAATGGTCAGAAGAGCGGGACCATTCTTAATGACCCAAAGAAGAACAGGAGCTGGTCAACAAGAAGAATTCGAGTATTTTCATCTCTTCTCGCGTATGAGTGATCTGTTAGTAGTGCACAAATCATCTGCTGTGAAAAAAAATCGAAAATACACATCCTCCTCACCAGTTAGCTAATATAGGAATTTGCAGACAGACTAACGAATTTACCTCCCTTTTTCTATGTGAAGTGTATTTGATAAGCAGGACATGTCGGAATATAAATTGCAACATGTTAGTTATTCTCTCCAGTAGTTCTTTGAAAATCCCCGGACGCAAAATAAGAAGGTGGAGAACGAAATAACGGTGGTAGAAAGCATTTTTTTAGACGAGCGATGGAAAATCTTAATTGAAATGCAGGAGAAGTCAAAGAGGTTTAATTTGAATCGGCTTGAAAGACATAATGCAGCACAAGACCATTGGATTTAACTAGATCTGGTCAAAAACCATGGAGTGGGATGCAGATTTGACAACTATCGAATGAATTGTCTTCCACGTTGTTTCCTCTCTCTCTCCCGCCCTCCCCGATGGTCACTACATTCAGTGAGTCTTGCGAGCAGCAGTCTGAGAGATATGATGAGCCAACTTTGGCCATCTTAATGTTCAACACATCATGATAGTTTTATCCCTCATGTTTTCAGTCTTGAATTTACTTCAATGCAGTAGCTTGTGATATCGTATCACTGAATACAGTCAGAAGCATGTTTTCTCCACCTGCTGTGATCTAGGAGGGTCACACCATGGAGAGAACTTGTATGAAGGTTGCTGAATGCGACTTACATCTTCTTTACTCTACTGGTGATCTCATGTGTAGTCAGTATTCAACTCGCAATAATCACCTCCTATACATCTCCAACTTTTAAAACCCGGACAGATGTGCACACTCGAACATGACGTGACCATCTCTAGAGTGCCTGTCACTCCTCTTTCGCTTATAATACGAACTTGGTCTAGTAGTTAGTCTTCCGTGTGATGGAAGTTCTTGTGTGTGTGTCCATTTTCTCGGTCTCTTGTAAAGAAGAAGCATACTTGCATACCATGATGTAAGGTGGCCATTTGGATCTTTGATGAACTCCAGGATGATTGCTTGCAAGGCAAAAAGCTCAGCTTCACTGTGGGCAAAGTGCTTTCTAGCTAGTGCAGTTGTCTTTCTTTCTATCAAAACTATCTAGTTGTTTCCAAAGCACGGGACCTACCTCACGGCTATGTGTTGAGAATGCATGAATCATAAAGCACTTTTCTTGAAATCCTTGTCAATCTCCTCACTGAACTGTCATAAGTAACAGGAAGGCTTTTAGACTGGATGTGGTATCTTTTGTACTTTTGAATATCCCAATCTCGTTATGCATGCCTGATGCATTTTCCACGCCACACCCCACGCCCATTCCATGAAGTTGTAGGAAGATGGACGTGGATTCACCCCAGACAATACATGAATCGTAAAACTTGTATGATCTAAAACACAGTGGTAGTGATCCGTCATTTCTGCTCACTTGAGCCTCTTTCAAAAAGATGTCACTTGTCTCTTTCTGGTTTCGTTGGAGGCGAGGGAAGTGTATTATAAATTGTTTCAAGTACACTTGTATGGGCTGCTGAATATTACTTTTACCCTCGCTGACGAATAACCTTCA